AAGCTACTTCTGCTTTTGGTTCATGTAAAGTGAAGCTGCAAACATTCTTTTAAAAATGACAGCTTGGTGTCACGTGAACTCTGGTATTGTTCTAATTCTAAAAGTTCTGTTGAAGTCAAGTGGGTTTCTGGGTACTTGCCAGTTGGAAAGGGTCTCCCGTGTTGACATAGGTAGGAGCATGTGTGGGTAGTGATAATGATGAATAATAGATTTATAGGGTAGTGTTCAGGTAGGGGTTAGAAGCTTTCATTTGTAAATGGCTTTACTTAAAATACATCTGTCACTGTTTTCTTTTACCTGAATATCAGAAAGATTTCTGAGGATGAAAACAGTACACATCTGCAGAGATGTGTGGATTAAACTTTAGAGGCCTACCAAGAGCTCTCCCTTTGATTTAGTTTTCTCTTGTATTAGCTAAACATCTGTTCTTGAGGGTGGTGCTGGGGAGGACAGATGCAAAGAAAAGGACATACAAGGTGTAGAACTTGAAAGGACAGGTTAGCTTGTCAAGATGGTACTCACTGTCTTACTGAAAAACAACAAACAGCAACAGAAAACGGATGGAGGGTTTTGCCCCTTTCTTTCTGGTAGAGGTTCATTGGCATTCTCATTGGAAATGTGTAAATTCAGCTAGTCCCCTGGTTGTAAAGCTCTTGTAAATTTCCTTAGGATTTTTATTCTGAGCATAGCTACAACTCCAGGGGTCAGAAGCAATTTTGTTTCACTGTTTTCAGATGAAAACCAGTCACATACAAAAAAATAAGACATTTTACATGCTGAGATAAAAGGCATTTAGTAGCTTTTGTAACTACTTCTCAGGAAAGAAAACTGAAGAACAGATATGTTTTTCTTTTCCAGATTTAAAATTAGCAGATACGAAAGTATGGTATGCAGTGTTTTTTTGTTGTTTTGTGTGTTGGGTTTTTGTTTTGCTTTTTGGCAATAGTAGGGTTTTGAACTCACACTTACTAGGCACGTGCTCTACCACCTGAGTCACTCCTCCAGTTCTGTTTGTGTTTTTGAGACAGGGTCTTCTTATGTAGTTCAATGGCCTTGCGCTCACAACACTCCTGTTTCTGCCTCCCCCAGTGCTGGGATCGCAGGGATGTACTACCATACCCAATGCAATTTTTCTTTTCTTCTTCACAAGACTAGTGTTTGAACTCTGGGTTTTGTGCATTATAGGCAAGTAACCACTTGAACCATGTTCATAGCCCCAATTTTTCTTTCTTAATAGCAGAGGTGGCTCTTTCTGGATTTGGTGGTGGTTTAAAGAGAAGTATAAAGAACTAATAGGCATTTTCTGGTAATGTGTCAGCATGGTGGTTAGATTGCTCCTCATCCCTACCAATGTGGGAAGTGGCAGGGGGTGGGGGGGAGGTTCCAGGAGCAGTCTGAGTAGGGAATCCCGAAGTGGGTACAGGCTGTCTGTACCTACTCAGCTAGCTGATGGCCAAACTGTCAGTGTCCTTGCTTCATCCACTCCCTCCCAGAACAGCTCCCAAGGACTGAGTTCTCTGTTGGGGTAGCAGGATCAGAGAGAGGTAGTCCTTAGGATTTAAATGACTTGGCATCATATTGAGTCTCTTTTTTCATAATTTTTCTTATTACAGTCAGGACTATGAATATACGGATTTTATGTTTATCTTTTCTTTTTCTTTTGCAGCTCAAATTAAGGAAAAGCTCTTCCCTGCCTCCTCTGTAAGCATCTCCTTGTGTGAAAGATCCAACATGCAGCCGCCACCCCAAGCAATCCCATCTGGCATGGCTGGACCCCCTCCGACTGGGAATCCTCGAAGCATGTTCTGGGGCAACGGTCCTTATAGGAGACCTGCCAGTAGTAATGCACCAGTAGCTCCAATTACTTGCCCCTTGCAGCCGGTAACAGATCCGTTTGCTTTTAATAGACACTCGCTCCAAAATACACCGTTGAGTACTTCATCCAAGAGCAGCCTTCCCGTTTTGCCTGGCCCGGCCCTTCCGGTGTTTCCTCAGTGGCCTGGTTTGCCTGTGCCCCACACAAATGCTGGGGATAGTTTGCAAGGACCCCATGAGCCTCTGCCAGGATCCGTGTCACAGTCTAGAACAGATGCCAGTCCATTTCCTACTGTGTCCATCCCTTCATTATTGCCTGGTCCTGAGATGCATAGGAGCACCGAGGTCGGTTCTGGTTCAGGGCCTGAAGTTCAGAATCCACCACATCCACCTCACTACATTCCAGGAGTGGGTCCTGACCAATCTCATGAGGGCCATCTGCATGAGAGTGGGTCTGGGCCCGATAGACCCCTGAGGCACTCCGCACATGATGGTGTGGTAGCCCCAGCAGTATCCCCTTTCTTTTCCCAGTCTAGCGAACAGATGCCAGGTCAGTGGGGGCCAGCGCAGGGAGGCCCACAGTCTTCCCATCAGCACCACGCGTCCTGCCCAGAAGGAACCGTTCAGAGTGTGGGGCACCAGGCACCAACTCTTCCCATTTCCCCTCTCCATCCAACCTGCACCATGGTCCTGGCCGTGAGCCTCACAGCCCACTAGTGTCTCCTCCAGTACCCTTGGTGGGTGGTGAAGGAAACGAGGCAGCCCACCTGCAAAGTGGAAACCATTTTGTGAGTAACTACCACCCTAAACACACATTTGGGCAAAACTCCAGAATTGGGAGTATGTGGGCAAGCCAGGAGTTCAGGCAGAACCCAAGAGTGAATAAAGAGCATTTGCCAGACCCCGCCCTTATGAATCCCCTCACTCAGGGAAATAGCCCAGAAAACCAGGTGCACTATCCCCCAGGGGCAGGGACTAGCCGGACCCCACTGGAAGCAGCCTCAAGAGCTCTCTCAATGTTTTTCCAAGGGAAGAGACAGAAAACGAGGAGAATCTTTCATCTGAAAAAGCAGGCTTTGCTGGCAGAATGGACTTTGATAGTTTCTCCTTTAGCCCTGGATTGGGCCATCTGCCCCCACCTGTACATGGAGCTACTGGTGTCTGCCAGGCCTTTCTCAAAGGCTCAACAACGAGACTGCACAGCAGGAAGGAAGTACACAGATTTACCTTTCTCAGTCTGTAGGCATCCAGCATGATAAACAAACCAGTAAAATCACTGCCGGTGATGTGTGGAGTGATACAGCCAGCACAGGAACTCATGACACTCATGGATCACAGTATGAGAATGTGGAGAACTTAGAATTTATTCAGAATCAAGAAGTCCCACCAAGTGAGCCCTGAGTTTGGACCCCTCTTCCCCAAGCGAACAGTTCCGATATGGACCCCTTCCTGGGCCACCTGTCCCTAGGCCCAGTGCTGTGGGCCTCACCAGAGGTGGGGGGCTGAATCTTGAGGCTGCTGATGTGCCACTGCATCTTACACCATCTGACAGTGTGTCATCCAGCTATAGCAACCACAGCCACAGAAGTCCTCCAGGGTCTGCCAGGCCCCAAGAATTGGTGGGCACATTTATTCAGCAAGAAGTTGGAAAACCTGAGGATGATGCCTCGGGCAGTTTTTTAAGCAAATTGACTCTTCACCTGTGGGAGGCGAGACAGATGAGACTACGGCAAGTCAGAATTACTGCAGCAGCTTGTCCCAACCCTCAACCCCAAGTCCCCCGAAACCTACAGGGATATTTCAGACAAGTGCAAACAGTTCTTTTGAACCAGTAAAATCCCACTTAGTTGGAGTAAAACCAGTGGAGGCAGATCGCGCCAATGTGGTGGTGAAGTGAGGGGGACCCGTGACCACCAGAGTAAATGCACACCAGCTACTGCACTGCCTGACACCTCCAGGCAACTTAGAACAGCCGCCAGACAACATGGAGACCCTGTTCACACCCCAGACCTGCCCTCTGCCACTTACCACCACTGCAGAAGCTGGGCATTCACTTCCGTATCCAGCAGGGCTACCCTTGGATACTGTGCGCCCAACACCTGAAAAGAGGCCCTCAGCCAGGACACAGGGGGCTGTTAAGTGTGAGAGCCCAGCAACAACTCTTTGGGCACAAAATGAAGCTACCAGATTTTGGTGGCAATGTCCTTCTAGCCCCTGCTGCTCCTGCACTTTATGTTCCCGCAAAACCTCAGCCATCAGATGTTCAGCCTCAAGGAAGAGGGGTGTCTGGGCAGCAGTTGCAGAAGCCAAGCTCTGTCCCCCTGCTGCAGAACCAAATGGCCTGGGTGCTTCTAGAACCTGGAGAACCCTCCTGAGGTGGGTGAAGAGGAAGACCTGACACAGGCCAGTTCTGGTTATGCAAGTTTGCTATCCCCACTGCCTGCTGAATCTTTACAGAATCAGTCTGTCTTGATTGCCCAGCCTGATCAAAGCTATAATTTGGCTCACCCCACTAATCTTCCTGTGTCCTTAATGAATCCTGATGAGAAGAATCAGTCCTGGGGAGATGCTGTTGTGGGGGATAAAGCTACAAGGAACAGCAGCTGGGCTCTTGGTGGTGATTCTGGAGAGCATGCAACTTTGTCTGGTGTCCCAGCCAGCACTGTCACTGGCTTGTCTCTGCCAGCAGTGTTGCCCAGAGTAATGCCCTGAGAGGTTCTGGGTCTTCTGAAATGGTTTCTAGCCAGCCTGCCAGTTTGCTGGTTCAGTCGCTATCCCATCCAGTTCCAAAGAACCCTCTTCCAGAAAGTCAAAAGAATCACAATGCAGGAGAGGTCCTTCCTGAGTTTGTTAATAGCCCTGCTGGAAGCACAGGTGTGATGTTAGTTCCACCCACAAACAGTACCTTAGTAGCTACTAGTGATAAGGCAGAACACTCCAATAACCAGGAGGAAATTGTTGGCGCTCTAGACTTCACATTAAATAAAACTTTGGAAAATCCTGGGAGAATGTATAGCCCTTCCCATTCGGACAGCACAGCTTCTCAGCAGGCTGTGCTAATCATCCCAGACAATCTGGGTCTGGGAGGCATAACCCAGACCGTTTCTACCAGCAGGTGACAAACGATGCACAGGACCACTGTGGCCTAGAAAGAGCCCAGCCAAAGCTGGTGTCTCCTCAGCCACAGACTTCTCTCCCACAAGTGCACCTAGCAGCATCTCCGGAAGCTTCAAATCCAGAAAGTCCACCCACTCAAGGACGGTCCCACAGCTCGGCCCAACCACCAGCAAATCCAGCTCCAGCTGACACAGGCCAGCAGCTGCTGCCTCAGCCACCTCAGTCCTCCAGTGCTTCAGTTATATCTACCACCTCCAGCCATGCAGCCACACGGTCAGAGCAGCCATGGCTTCACCCACCACCTCTGAATGCATATGGCCCACCACTTCAGGACTTAGGGTCCTACTATTACAGACCCCTGTATGATGGCTACCAATCTCAGTACCCCTCACCGTACCTATTGGATCCTGGGATGGCCCTCTATTACCAGGTGAGTGTACCAGTGTTGTTTAGCCGTCTGTCTCTACTCACTTTGGCCAGTGTGTTTCTTTTGTCATGGTGTTCCATGGGAGTGACTTATTTTTGGACCTACACAGTGCACCTGAGAAGAGCCTTCCCTAGTCCTGAGCACGGGTCCGTCCTCAGAGGTTTGTATCAGTGGTAGCCTATTGAATTGCTTGTAATACTGGTGCCATTTTTGTGTAACCTAGCATCCCTAATTTTATGTGACAAAAAGGGCCCTTGTTTCAAATACCTGTACACTTGCTGCAGAATTACAGCCCTGTGTTGCACAGTTTGGGAAACTGATTTAGCCTCTTGAGAGCTCTTACATTTATGTTGTTGTTTGTTTGTGAGATAGAATCCCTCTGTGTAGCCCAGGTCAGCCTCCCAAATGCTGAATTATAGGTGTGCACTGCCATGCTTGGCTTTTTTATGATTTTTTAATCACAAAAACCAACCAACAATAAGAAACAACAGGGATAATTGTAGGAGACTTTTAAATCTCTCATTGAAATAAAAATATCGTAGGAAAAAATTAGGTTTGCAGTATTATTCATGTGCAATAAGAAAGAGGTGAGATTCCATAAATTTCTCGCAAATGGGAGCCGATGTCCCAGCAGGGTCGGAGGCCCTGCTGTGTCGTTTTCTTGCCTCTTTCACAGTGTGGCCAGCTTACAGCTGCTGTTTAGCTTGGACTCTTGCTTATCCCTGCAGTAGTTTGAAAACAGTGTGGTCTATCCTTGATCATTATCTGGTTTTCCCACCTCTGGCCCAGACTCAGCATCACCCAAGGTAGAGGGTTATATTACAGAAAGTTTGAAAACCATGGTCCCCAATGCTTGTGGGGCCAGGTGGTATTAAATTCTTATGCTGCCTGAAAACAGCCCTGGGGCTGTGCAAGAAGGTCAGCTTAGGAACGGGGCTATGGTGGCTAGGTCAGACGCTGCCTATGGCAACAGGCCTGTGCCTTTCTCCTGGCCTGGAACGTTGTCACTCATATATGTGTGAGCAGTTACATATCCTGCTCCTGAGATCTGGGAATCCTATTTTGGAAGGAAGGAGCTATAGATTTTTTTCTGTATAAGGGAGGGAGTTCAACTCTGCTTGACATGGGGACAGCAGAGTGAGGAGATCCCTAGGCCTACCATGCACTCCCAAGCTTGGCGACACTTCAGTGTGAGCACATTTCTTTGTTGCTGTAATATCCAGTGGTGGTCAAAGCGAGTCCCTTTTTCCATGATTTTATGGTATCTGCCAGGTAATGACAGGGTTGGGGCTTTTATGCTTGGAAGAATGAGTTCTGGCTCACACCTGCATCACCTCACCTCTCTCCAGATTGTCACATGCCCATTGGGCCCCCCTTCAGAAACAGGCTGAGGCCACGATTTGTTATGTAATGTAGTTGAAAAGCCTTATAAGTATGAGCCAGGCGGTGGTGCCTCATGTCTGTAATCCTAACTACTCAGGAGGCAGAGATCAGGAGGGTGGCAGTTCGAAGTCAGCCCAGGCAAATAGTTTGTGAGACCCTATTTCGAAAAAAAGCATTACAATAAAGGGCTGGTGGAGTGGCTCAAAGTGTAGGCCCTGAGTTCAAACCCCAGTACTGAAAAAAAGAAAAAGGAATAGGTACAAGTTGGGCTGGCAGAGTGGCTCAAGTAGTAGAGCGCCTGTCTTGCAAGTGTGAAGCTCTGAGTTCAAACCCCGATACCACAAAAAGAGAGAAAGAAAAAAAAAAAGGAAGAATAGGAATGATTTTTTTTGTGTGAAATTGCTGATGGCTTTGAGACCATTCAGATGATCCCTGGTCCTATTGTTTAACTAGGTGGTGGCTGAGGCAGGACACATATGTATTGCTTAGATACAGCACCTCCACATTGGAGCCCTCAGGAGGCAGAAACGCACAGTGCCCTCGAGAAGTCACCATGGTCCCCTGTGGCTGCCTGGTAATATGTTGGCCTTCTGGGCCCATCTGGGCAGTCTTCTGAGCAAAACCCTCCTACCTGTCTGTCCATGTGACTTCACCATGTAGGTTTTTGTTTGCATGAAGGAAGCCTGCCTTTAGTCCTGCTTTTGGAGACTGGTCTCTGGGATGTGTAGAGCTAGAGCCGGCTGCTCAATGACTTACTGCTCATGATGGAATCTGACTGCCCAAACCTTCTTTCCGTAGGAAATCTATGGCCTGTGTGATCCTCGATATAGGCCCTATGACAGCTCAGCGTCTGCTTACTCTGAGAATTACCGCCACCCAGAGCCTGAGAGGCCCAGCTCCCGAGCAAGTCACTGCTCGGATCGCCCCACACCCAGGTGGGAACTGCATTCCATTCAGTCCTTCACTCTCGTACCCAGATATTTGTGATGGTAACTGTGATTGGAAAAATTCTTTGTCGGTAAAGAATTACGCAAATCGACTTAAAGTATGTTTATATTTTGTCAGCATGGGCCAAATGACAGATCATGGTTTTAAATTGAATTAAGCACACTGTCACATGCATTCCCGGCAGAGCTGGTCAGTTAGCATTTGGTCCCACTCCTGATCAGGCCGGACCTTATACAGAGCCACAAAGGAACTAGTGCACAGACCGTTGTTCTGTCACCAGGTACGTCTGTTGTTCTGGAAGTTTGCTCATGTATATTTGGGGCCCTTAGAAATGTGGCCATTTTTAACCAGTGCAGACTTTTCCACAGTCTCTAGATGCTGAGAGGACTTGACACAGAGACTGCATAATCTGTGGATAGACCCATTACACTGGCTCCAAATACAGGGCCTGAAAGCCTCCATTCTAGGTCTGGCTCTGCTTCCTCTGCCAGAAGGTCTGCACTCATCTCTGGCCTGTGTCTCCCCACTGCTCTCCCTGCCTTATTTTGTGGTCATGGAGGAGATATTTGGAAAGAACCATGGCACTGTGCCCTCTGAGTAAGCCTGTAAGCCATGTCAAAGTTCACCTTTGTCTCAGAGCACCAGAAGCTGCTTTTGATCTTATGTTCACTCAGCGCCATTGTGGTGGTTGGCCAAAGCAGTGGGGCATGAGGCATGGTCACTGTGGACTCTTGACCCCTCAGTTCCTATAGTCATTACTTCTCAGAGCCCAGGGAGTGTTTGCTCACAGGAGTAGGCTTACATCACTCTTCAGCTCAGCAGTGTAGAAATGCCTAGTCACTAATGCACACAGGCCTAAGTGCTTTGTACCCATGCTTGCTTTCAGAAGGCTCTGTGTGCTGGTTCTTTGAGAGTTTTGGTGGCTTATCTGAACACAGAATGCTCTACCTGTACATCCTTGCCCATTTAGCTGGCCCATTTACCTTCCTCCAAAGGCATAACACTGAACCCACGTGTAGGTTTGCGTAGCAGATCATTGTGGGCACTCTGTGAAGCTCACAGACACTAAGGCTTTGCCTCTCAAGAGGCTTACCGTGGACCTGGACTGCAGCTCAGTGGTGGACCACCTTCCTAGCATGCATGAGGCTCTGAGTTTGAGAGAGACAGAGACAGATAGACTTAATTGTGAGAAAATTCCCAGGCAGGTCTTGTCACTGTTCCAGTTTCCTTCTGCTTGCCTACATGCAGCTTCACCTGGGAATTAACTTTAAGAGGCCCAGTATGGCTGTGTGACACTGAGTAGGCCCCAGGCAAGGCTAGATCAACTTATACAGGGGTGATTTGTCACTTCCTTCAGCTGTTGGGCTGTCTTCGGTACTTATTTGTCACAACCTGGAAGGTAGTCTTACTCTCCCTCTGTTCTCCCATAGCCACATGTCCTGCACTTAGTGTTAACATGATGCTTAGTGTTGGTGGTCTCCATGTGTCCAATATAGTCAGGTCATGCAGGACCTGCTTAAGATAGAACTCTTTTTTTCAAGTTTGTGATTGTGTCATCAGTGAATGGCAGGAAGGTTGGTGAAGTAAACTGAGTAGGTGGTGTGCTCTTGATTTGGCTCTGTGTCTGGGTGTTTTTCTGAAATGCTGCCATGCAGACAAATGTGGTCTGGAATGGTGAACCCCAAGGCCTTTGGGCCAGGCCAGATAGTTACTGTGGCCGAGCAGCCGGGTAGGCAGCAGGAGTGGATGGACTTTCTCACAAGGGCTGTGCCAGGCAAGCACCCAGACTCAACTGACATTTCCTGAAGCAGCATGAGAAAAGCCACATGTAAAAATCAGATTTTGTGTAAAACTTGCTGTTAGAAACTTTTAAGTGCTGTTCAGTACTTTCAAGAATCTTGAAGCCAGGTGCCAGTAGCTCACGCCTGTAATCCTAGCTACTTGGGAGGCTGAGATCAGGAGGATCAAGATTTGAGGCCACCGCAGGCAAATAGTTCTCCACACTCCATCTCCAAACTAACCAGAGCAAAGTGGAGTGGAGGTGTGGCTCAAGCAGTAGAGCACCTGCTTTGCAAGTGAGTTCAAAAAGAGTCTCGAGAGTACCAGAAGCTCTTTACACTAGGTCATTTTGCTAAATTCCACCTTTTCTTTGTACAAGTCAAGATCATGGGTAGGTCTTTCAGGCATTTAGCAGGCTGACTCCTTGTCAGGCTCAGGAGGCCTGGCCCACCCTCAAAGGCCTGCTCTCCCAAGGTAATGCCCAGCACACATGGCTAGTGGTCTGCCCCTAATGGCTGTTAAAATTGGTATTTTAGGTTGATTGTAGGCTCAGTGCTTTTTTTTCTTCTGCTAAGCATAATATAAAAACTTGCATAGGATATAGCACTATTGCTGAGTCCTCTCAAATAGTGATTTTTCTGAGCTAAATTTCAGCTAACTGCATGGTGGGGAATGCCATGCTATCTTCTTTGTTACGATTTTGGATCTTCTAATTAAGAGTTTTTTCACAACCAAAGTGTTTTGATGAATGCCTGATGCTGTGGGTGTAATTTGTGCTGCTAATGTCTTGCCACACTTTAAGAAATAGGTAATATGTTTTTAACAGCTCTGTATGTTTTTTTCAGGCAAGGGTATCCTGAAGGATACTATAATTCCAAGAGTGGATGGAGCAGTCAGAGTGATTACTATGCAAATTACTACTCTGGCCGATACGATTATGGAGGTATGTTCAGGAATTACAGCCATTAGTAGGTGCAGTGTCCACAACACTGCTTGTGAACTTGCAGCAGTGTGCAAGTCATGCTCTGCTGGGTGATTCCAACGAACACTCCCTCACTAGTCTCTGTGTTTTTATTGAAGAACCAAAGTAGTTGAAAATTCTTTGCATGTAAGAATAATCATATTGATGATTTCCATTGAGAAATTATATCTTAACCTATAGCGTGGTGTGTCTCTGTCATACTGGTGTTTGTCTTGATTTTCTAACAAAGTATAATGGTCAGAGGTTCTGGGGCTGTATGACTACTCAAGTGTGAGCTGATGAAATTAAATAAAATGAAAAGCTGGCTCTTGGGTTACACTGGTCACGTTTGCATACTCAGAACCCACCTGAGGCCAAATAGCACCTGCTCATCCATCTGTGGCATTCCCAGTGCTTCACAGCCAGCCTCCATGCCTGCCTTCCATGCAGTGTGGGCAGCACACCAAGGCCTGGGAAGAGCTAGGAAGTCCCTCAGGGACCCTGCTGGTTATATCTGCCCTGGCCATGTGTTCTCATGGCCCACAACTCCTGACATGCCCACATAGGCTGAACCTCTGGAAAGCCTCTACTTTCCAGGGGGCTCTTTTCTCCTTGAATATTTATACAATTTTAAATAGAAATCTGCACACACTTACCAAAAATGATGCCTCCTGTTTATGCATAATGTTAATATCCCCTTTTAAATATTGAAATTATTTTTTATAGCCTTCTGGGACCCCTTAGGAAGAAGAAATATTAGGAAAACTTAGGGGAGTAAATATTAAGATGTAGTAGTTGGGGCTGGGGACATAACTCAGTGGCAGAGTGCCTTCCTGGTAAGTATGAAGCCCTGGGTTCCATCCCCAGCACCACAAACAAAACATTAAAAACATATGAAAAAGAACTTCATATAGAAGTCTTTTAAATCAAAAACAGTAACATTGAGAGAAGAGCTGACTGGGTGCTGTGGAGTGTTGTGGACAGGCAGGGTGCAGCTTGTCCCTCCAGTGTGAGGATCTGCACTTGGTCCAGGCTTGTCCCTCCTGAGCCATCTGTTTCTTGGGAGTCATGGCATCTTCCCCCTTGGGGTCAGTGCAGCTGCTTCAGGAGATGGTGTGGTTCTTCTTTGTTGGTTTACATTGATCCCTTTGTTCCATGCTTACAGACCCAGGTCACTGGGATCGCTACTATAGTTCTAGATACAGGGACGCCCGCACCTGGGACCGGAGGTCTTGGTATGACACTGAGCATGACCTATACAGGAAGGAAAACTTTGCTTACGTCGACAGGTTGGTATAACATGCACAAGGATGAAGGAGGCTGCACTAAGCTAAGCTGTGCACTTGCTTATCCACCCTCTGGTCTTTGGAGGTAGAGAGCTGTACTTCTCAGGTTTCTGGGGTGCAGCTGCCTGATACTTCAGCTACTGTCTGAAGGAGGAAGGACTGGTGGCCCCTGTAGTGTTTCCAGCTCCAGGCTGTAGGGGAGAGAACGGGTCTCAGATGAGGGCCGAGCCAGCAGCTCTGGTAGCATGTTGGGTCTGGCTCCCTCTTTCCTGTCTGTCCCGTCCCCTTTGTCCTGCCCACAGCCTAGAGGAGGCACTGCTCTGGTGGTGCGCCTGCAAGTCTGTTCTGAGATCACCTGAGTCTGAACCTTGAGTCTGGTTTCTTGTTCTTGGCTCACAGTGTCAGCTGTAACTAACATCCTTCAGTCTGAAGACTGTTTCTCAGGATGGAGAGGGTGGTGGTGAGCAGTGACTGTCAGCTACAGCCTTGGGAGTTACCTGGTAGATGCGTGTCATTCCCAGGGGTTGCCCTCCTGCCTCTGTTCTTTGCCTTGGGCCCTTGCTTCTTCTAGGACTGAGAAATGTGATGACCATTGGAAGTATGACCCTCGTATCACGGGAAGCTTTGATGACGACACTGAGCCCCACAGGGACCTTTACGGGGAGGAAGTGGACAGGCGCAGCGTCCACAGTGAGCACTCAGCACGGAGCCTGCGCAGTGCCCATAGTCTGCCCAGCCGCCGCAGCAGCCTCAGCTCCCACTCACACCAGGTGCGCAAGTTGGGCAGGCGGAGGAGCCATGTGAGCAGCTTTGTCGAGTACTTTCTGTTCCAGTAGGAACAGCATTCCTCATGCTCATGGGAGCTCACTTTTCCTGCTTGCTTTCTTTCCCAAGAGTCAGATTTACAGAAGCCAGAATGTAACTGCTGGTTCCTTTGAACCACCTCCTCCGAGCTCAGTTCACGGTGATTATGCCTATGGCACCTATGGCTTTCCAGAGTATGGCTACCCTGCGGATAGCACCTGGCCTGCCGTGGAGCAAGGTACATCTCAGCAGTGCAGAGGGTTCTGACCAGCTGGGGTCAGAACAAGAGAATCTGTTGTTTGGGTTTTTGACACAGGGTCTCACTATAGTGCAGGCTGGCCTTGAACTCACCACATAACCCAGATGGGCCTTTAAGTCAAGATCCTCCTGCCTCAGCCTCCCTAGTGCTGAGATTACAATCGTGTGCCACCATGCCCTGTGGGAGTCAGTTCTTGATTGTGAGGGACTGGTTTGGCTCCTCAGTGCAACCTAAGGATGGCTCCCCACTAGCCTGAGTGGCAGTTTTTCAATATAGACCAGTGTTGTCACTTTGATGGCAGTGTGGCTTGGTCTGAGAGCTGCCTGCTTGTCCACACATGCGTTACTAAAGTATTAACTCTGAGGACAGTCCTTGTCCTAGCCAGGCCCTTGGTGGTACCTCTCTATGTCCCTAGCACTGGCCATGTGAATGAGCAGTTGGAGGAAACTTCTAGTTCTCTTGAAATACTCTTTTCCCAGACTTGTGCCATGTGTCCATCTGACTTGCTTAAGCAAGTACTGTTGTTTCCTGGAAGGCTGTCGGAATGTAAGGGAAGTCAGAGGGTACAGCAGTGGTCTTTTTTCCTCCTAGTGGTCTTTTTTCCTAGCTTTACCGTCAGTCTGAAGTCCCACTTTCCTGAGTGAGTTGCTTGACTATGTCACTGTTGTCGGTTCTCTTGTGATTTTCAGTCAAGCTGAGCTGGTCAGGTTGCTCAGGAAAGGAAAATCTGAGAATCTAGTTCAGAATTACCAAGAAGCTACAAACTGATTGTTTTTTTTCCTCCTTATTTAAATGCAGTTCCATCAAGACCAACTTCTCCTGAAAAGTTTTCAGTGCCTCATATCTGTGCCAGATTTGGCCCTGGTGGTCAGCTCATTAAAGTGATTCCTAACCTGCCTTCAGAAGGACAGCCTGCACTGGTTGAAATCCACAGCCTGGAGGTAATGCCAGGGGCCTGGCCAGCCCTCACTCCATGTGTGTATTTTTTTGGCCAGGGTTTGGGGTGGTGTGGTACTGGGGATTGAATTCAGTGCCTCGTGTTTGTTAGGCAGGTGTACCCAGCCCGTTTTTGCTTTAGTTATTTTTCAGATAGGGTCTCATGTATTTTTGTCCAGGGCTGACCTTGGACCGTGTTTCTTCTACCTATGGCTTCCCTTGTAGCTGGGATCACAAGTGCATACTACCATGCTGGGTTTATTTGTTGAGATGGGGTCTTGCTACCTACCTACTCCCTCTGTCTCCTGAGTGTCTGGAATTATAGGCGTGAGATTGTGCCTGGTCCCCTAGGAAATGTTTATTCCTGTGAAGTTTCAACCTGGAAGGTTTTTCTGTTTGGTGGATGGTTTTTCTTCCAGAAGTCAGCCTTTTTAGCAGCAGCTGTGGGTGTTAGATTTGGCATTTCTGGAAGTATTTTCTGTCTTTATTCATATCTTTTGACTTTGGGGGTGTGCGATTTGTCAGTGATTTTCAATTATGGACAGGGATTGAAGAGGGCTGCTGTGAGGGAGTCTGGGGTGGAGATAGAGCACCTGCTCTGCAGCTCCAGGGGGCTTTTCTGTTGCACATATTGGGACCCAAACAAATCTGCTAAAAGCTTGAAAACCTCTGTAACCACTGTGGCAGTACCACTTTTGCTATGCATATGGAAAGGATAGGCATGGTTTCAGGGAGGATGTCTGCTGGTGTAGGCAGCACTTGGGGCCTGGGCTGCCCACCTAAACTGCTGTCTGTGCCCTTTCCTTGCAGACCTTGCTGCATCATACACCAGAGCAGGATGAGATGCGCTCATTCCCAGGACCTCTTGGCAAGTGAGTTCCTTGTTGGGCGCCTTTGATATTTGCATGGTGGCGCTTCTGAGTTTGGTCTCACAGTCCAGGTGCTACCATTCACCGAACACTTGTTCTTCTTCCAGAGATGACACCCATAAAGTGGACGTTATTAATTTTGCACAGAACAAAGCTACCAAATGTTTGCAGAACGAAAACTTAATTGACAAAGAGTCTGCAAGTCTTCTGTGGAATTTTATTATTCTGTTATGCAGACAGAATGGGGTATGTTCCGTTTTAGTTCTAGAGCGTTCTCCCTGTTAGCCTTTGGTTTGAGGATCTGCCCCCATCTATGTCCTGAGTTGTGGCCAGTGTCAGCCCTGTCACAGAATCACAGCAGCAACCTGGGAAAATGTGATTAAGGGTGAATTGAGAGGTCTCAGACGTTCTGGGAGGCTGTGGGTCTGTTTTTCCCCTAGCCACAAGGGTCAGGCTCTGTGCCTTTGGTGTTCTAACATGTGCCACCCGCAGAGACCTGATCCGGACTCATACCTGACCATATAGGGCCTGTCTTGTTATCCTGCTGGCATTCCTGTTCATATTAAAGCCTTTTGTTGTTCTCCATCCCATCCCTGTTGACCTTGTAGACTGTGGTGGGGACAGACATCGCAGAGCTTTTGTTACGAGACCACAGAACGGTGTGGCTTCCTGGAAAGTCACCCAATGAGGCAAACCTAATAGATTTTACTAATGAAGCTGTGGAGCAGGTGGAGAAGGAGGAGTCCGGCGAGGCCCAGCTCTCATTTCTCACAGACAGTCAGTCAGCCACCACCAACATGACTGAGAAGGAAACTGAGAGATTCCGAGAGCTTCTGCTCTACGGCCGAAAGAAAGTAAGTCCTCACACTCATGAAACCCACAGGTCCACCTGTTGTCCCAGGTGCTGGGTACTCAAAAGAGGCCAGTCCTCCTCCTGAGAACATCTGCAGGTCTGATGTTGTCCAGCATTCTGTGTCTTGCTGTCTTCAGGGAGAATGGTAACTTTCCTGTTGTCTTTACAGGTATCAGTAATGTTTCTTTATAAACAGTGCCTGTGCCTGTGTTGAAAACTAGCAAGCTCAGTTTTCAGTTATTTTGTCAATAGGAGTGTGTACTGAACATGGCTCCTCCCTGCTGTATGGCAGGGTCTTGGGGCAGATTGTGTGAGGCAGATTAAATCTGTTCTTGCAAAATGAGGCCTTGGTTCACATCCCTATAAATTTGATGGGCTCTGGGAGTTGGGAGGATGTGCTGAGTGGGGGCAGGTATCAGATTGCAGAGGTCTGCACAGGCATTTGCACCACGGCCATTCACTCTGGGCAGAATGATCGTAGCTGAGACAGTGCACAGGAGTGTTGGGGCAAGGGCGGAGTCCACCTGTGCTGTTGTGCTGCGGCTGAGAGCTGCATCACACTGGTCCCTGGAGTTCTGTGTGGCAGAGGTTTCTGATCGGTCCAGAGTTCTGTCTTTCTGTATTGTGGTCTACACAGGAGCACGAAGCTCGTGGGTTTGGTTGGTTCTAGGGATTGACTCCAGAGCACTGCACATGCTCAGTATGCTTTCTGCCTCTGAGCGACACCCGCAGCCTACAAATCTCTTTTTCTTTTTCTTTTTTGCTTCTTTTTTTGACAAGGTCTGGCTGTGTTGCCCATGCTGGCCTCAAACTTGTAATCCTCCTGCCTCAGCCTCCTGAGTGCTATGATTACAGGTGTGTACCACCACACTGGGCTAGGAAGGAAGCTTTTTTTGGGGCGGGGGGGGAATGGGGTCTTCCCATGTTGCACAGGCTGGCCTTGAACTGCTGGGCTCAAGTGATCATCCCACCTCACTGGGACTACAGGAGTGCTCCACCATGCCCAGTGAAAGCGCATAACAATTAACAGGATTTTAACAAGGACATTTCACAGCTGATGGAAATCAGAACCTTTTAGCATTTGTCAGTGTTTACCTTTGGGCACAGGGATTGATAACTAAAGGCACTGTGTATGTTGAGAGGATATTCCTGGAGGCTCATGTGTCATCTGCGTTAGGGAATTGATACTTGTGGCATTCCTCGAAGTAGACGGGGCAGTGTGGGGATGGTGCTGCCCACTTGTCCCCAGTTGTTACTTTATACCAAAGTGCGCAGCAAAAGCAGTGTGAATCCCTAGGACCACAGGGACTTTGAAACTAGGGAGAATGAGGAAAAGTGAAGTTTTTTAAATCTCCAAACTCTGAGCATCTGTCTCTCAACCTGCTATCGGCCTTTTCTTCTTTTTCATTGTTGTCTGTTTGTTATATGTTTATAGCACTGGGTTATTCACATGAACCCTGAAATGCATTGCAGGATGCTTTGGAGTCTGCCATGAAAAATGGCTTGTGGGGTCACGCTCTGCTACTTGCAAGTAAGATGGATAGCCGGACACATGCTCGTGTCATGACCAGGTAAGAAAGCTTATTACAGACCCATCCAACTTGCTGAGCCTGCTACTCTGCAGCACCCAGGTGTCCTGTTGTGCTCTAGGGCTGCTGAACTTGGACTCAGAGGTTTACTTGGCCTTTCTTGGGTTATGCTGCTGAGGGATTTTTAGGGTTTTTTTTTTTTTTATTAGTATTGGCTGATAGTTTTTAATATTTTCCATAAAATATTAGTGGAGACCTCATTCTTCACCCTTCACAGGATAATGGTTTGGTCTGACCATTAAAGACAAGGGCTGAGGTTAGGCTTCTAGGTTTTTTCTCTTAAACTGAGCCAGCGTTAGATCTTTTTATTCTTGTGTCTGCCTAGGTTTGCCAACAGTCTTCCAATCAATGACCCTTTGCAGACGGTCTACCAGCTCATGTCCGGGCGGATGCCTGCTGCATCCACGGTGAGTGTGCAGGTTCTCCTGTTCATAGTAGGTCCCACACTCTATTGGGCTTTGCTCTCATTAAAGGTCTGAAACCCGCGTCTCTTGCACTTGTGAAAATTTCTTACCAGGCTTGACTATTAGGAAATTAAAGTGACAGTCTTCTGAGGATGTGGGTTTGTTTTGCGCTCTTCTAATTGTAGTGTTGTGGAGATGAGAAGTGGGGAGATTGGAGACCCCATCTCGCTATGGTTTTGTCCAACCTGAACAACAATATGGATGTGGAGTCCAGGACTATGGCTACGATGGGCGATACCCTAGGTGGGTAAGGTGTGGGGTGGGCTGTTGGTTATCATATGGAGAACCCCAGCAGCCTGGCTGTGTCAGTACCCATCAGAGCCACTGCTTCAGTCATCCAAGTGTCTTTGGTCACACCCCTGGACGAGCAGAGCCTCCAGGGACAGAGACGCACTGCTTCCTCTCTCCTTAGCCTCCAAAGGCCTCTTAGATGCAGCGCACTTCTGCTACCTGATGGCCCAGGTTGGACTGGGGGTTTATACAAAGAAAACGACAAAACTGGTCCTGATTGGATCAAATCACAGGTGAGGAATCCTTTAGGAAGAAAAAGATTAGGCTGGAGCATGGCTCAAGTGACAGAGTACCTACCTAGGGAGCAGGAGGCCCTGAGATCAATCCCCATATTGCCCAAAAAAACGATTTAGAGTCGGGTGCCGGTGGCTCATGCCTGTAAATCCTAGCAACTCAGGAGGCAGAGATCAGGAGGATTGTGGTTCAAAGCCAGCCTGGGCAAATAGTTCTCGAGACCCCGTCTCAAAAAAAACCCATCACTAAAAAGTGATGGTGGAGTGGCTCAAGGTATAGGCCCTGAGTTCAAACCCCAATCCCACCAAAGAAAGCAAGGTCATAATGGACTGGAGGCATGGCTTAAGTGGTAGAGCACCTGCCTAGCAAAGCCCTAAGCTCAAACCCCAGTACTGCAGGAAAAAAAAAAAAAAGGAAAAGATTCCTGTTGTTTTGTTAATTCAGAAATGTCCACGACAGTGTCATGTGGTGGACTCACTTCTGGGTGACTGCTCTAAAACTGATGGTGCCAGCGATTGGCCACTTTCCAAGTCAGCATCATTCACTTCCTCCACAGTTTGCCATTTTTAAAGTTTGCCACCAATGAAGCGATTCAGAGGACAGAGGCCTACGAATATGCTCAGTCCCTTGGGGCCCAGACCTGCTCCTTACCTAATTTCCAGGTAAGTGGGAGAATGTGGCATGGTTTTCATGTGTTGGGGGTGAACAGTGCCAATTTCTTACGCAAGTAATAATGAGATTTTTTGAGACATCCTCTTGGGGAAACATTTTGGTTAATATTTTCAGTATTAAAACTTAAATACTTGAATTCGAGCACTTTTGTATCAGCTGTTTTTAGAGGACTGTGTGATATTCCCCAGGGTTCTATATGTGTGTGTTTATAAAACACAATAGAGATAGTAGGGAGCATTTGTGGTACATAGGAGAGGTGGCTGTCTCAGGGTTTGGCTGAACTGTGGCACTTGTATTCGTGAGCCATTGGTCATATCAGAGGGAGGAGAACCTTCTTAGAAGTTTAGTTGTTTGATCTTAAAGTATCTCAGAGGATGGGGACTAGTGCTGCTGTTGACAAGCAGAGGGGTGAGGGTGTTGGTAGTAAATGAGACAACCAGAGTAATTCATGCATATAAGGTCTCTTTTTAATATGGGGAAAAGAAAGCCCCAAGACAGTGAAGCTGTTTTGTTGTTTTAGGTGTTTAAATTCATCTATTCTTGCCGCCTGGCAGAGATGGGGCTTGCCACACAGGCTTTCCACTACTGTGAAGTGATCGCCAAGAATATCCTAGCACAGCCAGCTGCACACTCTCTGGTGCTCATCAGCCAGCTGGTCCAGGTGGGGTCTCCTGATGCCTTTCCTGCTAGTGCTGTGCTGACTGTGAAGCAAGTGGAGGGCATCAGGATTGCTGGACTTGGGATGGGATGGTGTGCTATGGGTCTCATAGCAGGTGCTGCAACCTACTTCTGGGAAGAACTAAGATACTTAAACACTCTTGGATGGGTTTGGGTTTTGCAGTGTTAGCATGGGAGCTCTTCAGGTACCTTGTGCCAGTACACAAACTTCGCAGTAAGTTTCACAATGAGTAGGCTCCCATCTCCAGGTGAGCCATTTTGAGGTGCTTTAACCTGAGGTTAAGAGCTCCCACGTGCTGGTCAGCAACTGGATGTGAGTCCTGGCTGCAAGCCCATTGATTTCTTGCCTATCCAATGGAGCTGTTTGGCCATCTGCCTGAGGGTGGATATGGAGAGCATTCAATCCACTGTCCATGTGCTGTGGCCCCATTGCGTGAAGTGTCAAGGCGTTTCCCACCCCAGTAGTTCCATTTCCGAAAATATGCCTGTGTGATACCTCAGAAAATTTGTTGTCATGAAAATGTTTAGTCTACGCAAAAGTACAAAGATTAACGAGTTGCAGTCACCAGCTTCAGTACTCAGTAACACAGGCCACATTCATTCGTCTGTACCCAGCCATGTCTCCCAGTGCCATATCAAAGAACACATCCCTTCCCAGGTTAGCTGAGCACTTGGACAAGGTGGTCAAAGGTACATATTCAGGGGGTATGTGGGCTCTGCTGATCCCATGTGCCTGTGAGCTCATAAGTCTGTGGAGAGCTCTACCCTTTAGACTATCTGATCATCCAGCTTCTTAGGTTTTGCACGCATCACACAAATGCAGTTAAGAAACACATAGTGCTAATTAAAACATTCTCTCCATTCAACATTGTTCCAGAGTATGGTACATTTGGAAACAATTTTGCTTAAGTCACCTGAAAGTAACAGGTTGTCTGTTCTTTGGGGTTCTAGATGGCTTCCCAGTTACGCCTCTTCGATCCTCAGCTGAAGGAGAAGCCAGAGGAGGAGTCCTTTGTGGAGCCTGCCTGGCTGGTGCAGCTGCGGCATGTGGAAAGGCAACTCCAGGTGTGGTTTTTGACAGCATAGCCTTGTCCTAGGACTTGGCATTTGATCAGGTGGTTTGCGCCCGTTTTCACACTGAAGGTATTCAATTACACCAATGTAACTTTAGAAGTGTGCATTTTGTAGGAATTTCCTAATTGCCCAGGGAGGGTATAATCACCCTCCTGAATTGGAGACAGTGAGTGGGTCAGTGGACAGAAGGCTGCATGTAGGGCTGATCTGGGCTTCGAGAACATCATCTATGGTCTCTTAACTCTCTCCTCCTTTAGGAGGGGGCCGTGCTGTGGAACCAGGATGGAGCTGACCCCCAACAGTGTCCCAGCACGCCAGGATCTGAGGTGGAGCAGTTGAGTAGCACAGGACTCGGTCAGCCAGTGGGGCTGGGAGCTGATAACCCCCTGCTGTTGTCAAGCAATGAGCCCTTGAACCAGGGTGTGCAGCTCCTGCCATCAGGTGGGACACTCAGTGACCCGCACACCTACTTTCTGATATCTGCCTTTGAACAGAGAATGTTTTTGTTCTGCACCAGGAGAATTGAATGTGCCACCAGAATAGTTTTGGGGGACCCCTTGGTCTCTTTCTTTCTATGCTTCCTGCTTTGGTGAACCTGTCACATACCAGAGCTTTAGGTGTCCATCTGTTGATATTGCTGGTGCCCCTGCCCTGGCTGGCCCTGTTCCTGAACTCCAGCTGCTGTCCTTGCTACTGTGCTGTGCTGTGTCAGACGACAAAGACTCCTGCCCCTCCCCACCCTGAATCTGCTTCTCCCCATCCTCATCTCGAGAGGCGTTGGGTTCTACACCTCTCTCATGTCCTGTTCTTCCCTGGATGAGCAACCACCATTCCTGCCCACCTGCTTCTGCCCTTCTCTGAAAGGATCCCCATTTCACCAGAGGAAAGGCAGGTGCCCATGGCAGCCCACAGATCCTGACTTCATGCACTGCCCTCTCCAGCCACACTCCTGACTCAGCTGCCAGCAACCTTACCACCCTGCCACCCACTTGCCCTCCCTGTCATGTCCACAGACTTCTCCCTAGTGCTGATTTTCTTCCTCCTTGGTTCATCCCACAGGACTCTGTTTTGTTTTATTTTGTGAAGACAAGGGTTTCACTACATTGCCCGAGCTGGTCTCAAGTTTGTAATTTAAGTGATCTTCCTGCCTCAGTTTCCTGAGTAGCAGGACCATAGGCACATGCCCTTGTGCCCAGTTCTCTGCTTCATTCATGATGCATCCAGTGCCCAGGTGACTCCCTTGACTCTTGGCAGAGGAGAAGGGGCTCTATGAGCACAGCAATTCCCTGTGCCAAGTGGCCACTCACTGATCTGTCTTTGAGCCACTCTGTAGTTTGAAGCCCCACCCCCAAGTCACACCTAATGATGGGCACCAGTGTCCATCCTGCCTTTGGCCCCTGGAAAGTCAGTATTCTGCTTTTCTCTAGACTACTGACGGGGGCATTTTCAGCCACCCTTTGATAAAAGAAGCATGGCTTTGCAAAATATCTTACGAGAAATGTGTTTATGATGTGCTGTTCTTGTCCTTTGTATGACCACTGAGCCTTAGTCACCTTAGACTTCCTCTTCTCCACTGTGTTCTGCAGCTCCACAGATGCTCCCTGATGGCCAGCCAGTCCAGCTTGCCCGGGTGCCAATGTTTCATGTGCCACCACCCCGGGGCCCCCAGGAGCTGGGTCCTGGCTATGGACCCCCAGGGTCTTTACTTGGCTTTCCAGAGCACTCCAGGCCTGACACTGGAGCTGTACACCTGGGACCTGCCCTGCCACCTGGTGCACCAGCTCTCCAGGAAAGTGGTCCCCTGATCCAAGAGACCAGAAGCCAAGACCCAGGTGTGTTTGCTGAGGTCCTGTCTTAAGAGCAGAAATAAGTTGACCTTTGTGTTCCAAAAATTCTAGAAGTTTCAGAGTGAATAGGTTAAGAGTCTCACTGCAGTAGGAACACTAATGCTAAATTCTTTTGTCACTTGGCTGTGTGTTACGAGGTGAAGTATAAACGGCTATTCAGGCATGACACAACAGCCTTGAGACATCTGCAGGGTCTGTCTCAAAGTGGTCCTTCTGTGTCCCTGTGAGATGTACAGGCGGAGGTGGCAGACTTCTGTTTGGAAGTCAGGTTTGGTGGATCTTGTGTGTGGCTGTGCCTCACTCTGTCAGCTTGAACAAAGGAAAACATTTGGGAAAATTTTCAGTCTTAATTAGGAAAATATCACTAGCTGTGGTCGAGCCCAATAGAAAGCTGGTTTGGTCCTTGATTGAGTGCCACACCAGTGTCCTGCTTCCTTCTGTAAGTCCACAGCAGGGCCAGGATCCAGTCACTGTTTTGCTTTGACAGGAATGGTGCCGCAGGATTCACCTGTCAGAAACTCGCTTCCAGAGTTAAGGGAAGAGGATTTTGGCGGAAAATTTGCTAATCTGGTACTTCCCCACTCTTTTTTATAACTAGTTTCTGTAAAGCCCACTGAACAGGTGCCCCGACTCCTTGCTCTTCAGTTACAGGAGGTGATAAAGGTGATTAGGTCGATAACTTCCTAGGTTGTTTCTTAGGGAGGACTCCTAGAGTCACTTTAATCTTTAGCATATGAAGAACTGGTGAAAACTTTGGTAAGAAAAGACATTGGAAGAGAATTCAGTAGTTTAAAAGCTGTTCCTTTAACTGAAGAGAAGAATACCCAAATGTAATGAAATCCCCTAAGTTAACTTTGTTAAGTGGAAAAACTTCTAACTTCTGCACCTTTTGTACCACAGAATGTGACATTTTTATTGGTCTCACTGAAATGGTGACTTATTTTAGCAGATGTATGTGTTACAGATACCTCCTCTGTTTACTCCCAGCTGGGAGGGACACACGCTTTTATACAAGCTACGTTCTGAAAGCTTCGTTTTACAGATACCCAGCCCTTGGTGGACGAACCATCAGGAGGCGATTCCTACTGTTTGGGACTTGCATTATAAGCTCTGCCATTTCAAACATCCTGTCCCTGGAAAAGCATGAGTGAGGATTTAACTGTGAAAGTAGCAGCTCAGCCCAGAGTTCTATCCTATTGTTTTTTTAATACATGCTACTACTATCTGTGACCAGTCTTGTCCTCAGTGCATGTGCACACTGTTTCTCTGAGTACCATGATACTCCTTGCTAGAGTTGCTTGTTAGGAGTGACTGACATTTCTCTAGTAACCCAGGAAGGCTCCAGAGGGCTCCAGAATGCTGTCACCATTTCCCTTCTCCCTGGTCCCCACAGTCTTCACCTTGGGGAGACACTGGTGGGAAGCCCCTCCCTCACCCTCCTTCAACTCTTCACGAGGAGCCCCAAGAGAGCCAACTCCTGTATTGCCTTGGGACAGGGCTCCTCCAGGAAGGCACAGGACTTGGAGACGCCCCCAGCATGGGATTGCGGCAGCTCGGGTTCAACAGAGCCTGCTACATCTCTGACACCTGCTCCCGAAGTGAAGAGACCTGCACAGGATGTCAGAAAAGAGGTCAAGGAACCCAAGAAGGTACAGGGCCCAGCCCCACTACACCTGTCCAACTGGGCAGAGAGGCAAGGCAGATACTAGGTGGGGAGGCTCAGCTTCCTGAGGCAGCTCTCCTTGTAAATTGGAGGCGAGGAAAAGGTGTTCGTTTATGTTTTAATTAAGCCAAATGTTTTGAAGTGTAGTACACATCCAGCCAAGTGGATAAGGTATCTAGCAGCTAGGTGAATATTTTGTGTTTGTAATGCATATAAGCACACCTGGGTCAGTGAGGATGTTCTCAGGCACCTGATATTCCCTCATGGCCCCAGTCAGACTAGTCCCAGGCACTGCAGGAGGAGTCAGGCAGCACTCACCCCTGCTGTCATAGCAACTGAGTGTGTGCATGAGCTGCAGTTATGTTTACCCTTGCTCCCAATAGTGGATGTTTGAATTACGCTTAGTTTGAGGTTATTAGAAATAAAGCCATATGAGCATTCCTATCTGTATCTCTTGATGGCACGTTCTTACCTGCTTGGAAAGGAGTGTGTAGGTCATAGGGGAGGTGTGTGCTCAGCTTTAGGGGTGACAGGGCTATGTAGATTCTTAAGTAGTTGGCAGAGCTGCACTTGGAACCACAGAGCAGCCTTTCAGCTGACTGCAGCTTCCCCAGCCCTGAGTCTCACCAGGACTCTGGACTCCAGCAGAGGTGATGCTCCACTGTGGCTTGCTTGCTTCCCTGATGAGCAGCGGTGCTGAGCACCTTTGCTGTTTCCATCTCTGCTCCTTGCCTCATGCTTGTTCCAGTCTTTCTGTTTTTAACGGGGTGACCTTAAAGATCTGCGGCAGTCCTTGCCTTGTGGGTGCAAGTCCTTGGTTAGATGGAAGTATAGTGAATGTGCTCTTAACTGGTGTCCTACAAAGAATATAGTTCTGCATTTTATGAGGGCTCAGTTGATCAGATTTTTCTTTTATGGCGAGTATCTTGAAAGTAAATACAAATTTAATTAAAATGTGTGTGAATTATGAGATAAAGCACAATGTTTCTATTTTACTTGTTTGTTTTGCAGTGCTGGCAGTGAACCCAGGGCATTGGGCATGCAGGGCCAGGGCTCATTGCCCTTCAGGGTTTTTTTGTTTGTTTGTTTTGTGGTACTAGGGTTTGAACTCAGGGCCTCATACTTGCTAGGCATGCACTCTACTACTTGAGCCATACCCCAGCCCTTTTTGCTTTAGTTATTTTTCCAGTAGAGTCCCTCAGTTATATAACTGCCCAGGCCAGTCTCGACTGTGATGTTTCTGTTTACACTTACTGTGTAGTTGAGTTAATAGGCAAAGGCTACCACACTTCAGCTTATTGGTTGAGATGGGGTCTCGCTAACTTTTTGCCTGGGTTGGCCTTCAAACTGTGATCCTCTTGATTTCCACCTTCTGAGTAGCTAGGATTACAAGTATAAGCTACTGAGCCTGGCTCCAGACCTTCAGTTTTTAAGTGAACAGCACTTACAGACCTCTCCTGGGTAGATTTCTGGAGAGACAGACCTGGGGGACGGGGGTGCCTGTAGCTACACTGCTTGGCTCTTCATTTCAGTAGAGCAGGCTAGCTCATGAAGCAGTGCACTTCCTGTCACCAGGTTCTCTGCACACAGGAGACCAGAGGGCTTTGTGTTGAGGCCTCCTGACTGACTTCCAGCCTTGTACTACTCCATGAGGAGGAGCCCAAGCATTGTTGTCAGGGTTCAGATGAAGGTGGCATATTATTGTTTGGGGTTTTGTTTATTAAAGATACACACGTAGGGCTGAGAGTGTGGCTCAGTGGTAGAGTGCTTGCCAAGCATTCAACAGATTCAGGGTTTGTTCAGTCCCCAGCACTGCAAAAATATATACATATCATTTAGCATTTTAAACCCCCTCCTTTTTTGTTTTACAGTACTAGAGATTAAACCCAGGACCTCTAGCAAGTACTCTACCACTTGAGCTGTGCCCCCAGACCTTTTATTTTTGTTTTTGAGATAGGGTCTCACTAACTTTGTCCATGTTGTCCTCAAACTCATGAATCTCTTGCCTTTGTCTCCCAAGTAGCTAGTATCACAGGCATGTGCAGTTTTAACCCATTTTAAGTGTATAGTTCAGCAGCATTAAGTGCATTCTCTTTGCTGTACACTTGTCATCGCCCATTCACAGAATGCTTTCATCTTCCCAAACTAACACTGTGTTCACCATGTTTACCCCCTCCCTGCATTTTACCTTCTGTCTCTATGAATCTGCCTCCTCTGGGGACCATCTGTTTGCAGCAGAATCACCCAGTATTTTTTGTAATTTTGTGCTGGGCTCATTTTGCTCAGCATAGTCTTCAAGACTCTTCTGGTGGTTTTATGTTTAGAGTGAGTCCTGGTTCTCTCGTTGGCTACCTGGGAAAAAAAGGACAGAAGCTTATTTGCCAGATGACAAGAACAAATCAGTGAGTATTGTCAGTTATGGCTCAGTGGGAGTCTGAGGTGTTTTAGTGATTGCCTGTTGGTGGTTGGTCATGCAGTGTAGTTGAGATTCACAACAAAACTTGAACATGGGGATGTTCTCTGAAGTTTTAAAGTGGCCTCGTTAACCATATTTCTGTTTAGCTTCAATCTACTTATTTTTTTCTTTACTTTTAAAATCTTGGCAGATTGTTTGGGATGAAAAGAAAAACCAATGGGTGAATTTGAATGAGCCAGAAGAGGAGGTAAACTGTGCCTTCAGGTGTTTGCTGTAAGGGGAAGGAATGCCTGTTTTGCTCCTTAACATCTGGGCATTTTGGCCCTCCCTGTGAAGAGTCTGAACTGGGTTTCCAGGGCTGTTTTTCCCTCTGCAGAAAAAGGCTCCACCCCCACCTCCAACATCGTTCCCCAGAGCTCCGCCGGCTGCTCCCACTGGGCCTGCAGGGCCTCCCACAGCCTCCGTGAACGTGTTTTCTAGAAAAGCAGGTAATGGCTATACCAGAAATCAGAATTTTCTGACTATTGCACAGTCCTGCACATGTGCAGAGCTGAGTCATATTGGGTGCTGGGCAGCCATCTGTCACAGTACTGGAGAAAATGAGTTTTGTGGAGGTAGGCCTTTTGTGGGGGGACAGTCCAGTTCTCCAGTACATTAAGATATTCTTTAACATCTGTATTGATGACCCCATGGATGCAAAAGTGTCCCATCAGTCAGAAATGCAGCTCATGTGACTGGAGTAGAATTAGCATCCCCACCATGGGCACAAACTCAAATAGGTCTGCTCCATGGGAGACACTGAAGGGTCCTTGCTTGCTTTTCTGATACAGTGGGAACTGAGCAGGTTAGATGCTAGAAGTCACTTGGCATGCCCACCTGAATTGGTTCCCCCCACTCCCTTAGGTGGATCCAGAGCTCGCTATGTGGACGTTCTAAACCCAAGTGGGACCCCGAGGAATGAGCCAGCTCTTGCTCCTGCGGATCTCTTTGCTCCACTGGCCCCACTCCCCATCCCTTCTAACTTGTTCGTACCAACCCCAGGTAGGCAGCACGTGTGTGTGCAGGGCCATGACTGCCCTCTGCTTATGACCAGCCTTCGTCTATAAACCTCTGGCTAATACCACTCTAAAAGAGTGACCATGCCAAGGCACCAAAGAGTGAGGCTAGTGTGCACTTCCTTGAAGACTCTGACCTCTCCTTTGTGAGGGACGATGTCCCAGGGGTCAGAACAGGATGATGGCCTCCTGCCCCTCTCATTCACAGATGCAGAGGAAGCACAGCTTACAGATGGGGCTAGCAGCAGGGGACAGATGCCAGCTGGGGCTCAGCCCAAGCCAGAGACTGCCCTGGAATCCAAGGTAGGTGGAGTGTGGCAGGAAAAAGAGAAAGAGCTCTCAGGGAAGATCTGCCTCCCACCTTTCCAGACAACTCCTTCTAGTTTGCACACAGATAATACTCCGCTTGAATTATTTCAAACTGACATGTAATACAGACAGGAGGTGCAAGGTGGGTTCCAGTGACTGGGGAGAAGACCTGGAGTTGGTGTTTCATGGGGACAGTTTCAGTTTGGGAAGATGGAACATTCTGGAGATGGATGGTTGTGATGGTTAGGGTGGTATATTTTATGTTATACATATTTTACCACAACTTTAAAAATCAGAAAAACAATTAAGCTAAAAAAGAAATTGTCTAGTAGTAACAAAGTTAAAGTATACCTTTACCTAAATAAAGAACAGCTCAGTGCGTGATCTCTGGAGTGGGCCAGGCCTGGGGTTAGCCTGGCTCCCTGGTTCGTTATAGTCACTCCACTTTCCCTCTGTGAGATGGGAATGACAGTGGGGTCTAATCAGAAGGCTGTTGTGGGGCTCATACACAGCCTTGTGGACCATGCCAGGAGCTGCCGGGGCCCAGCACCCCCAGGCAGGGCAGTGGGGTCCTATGGGAAACGCCCCGTACATGACATCACAGAGGAGTCTGGGTGCTGCGAGCAGTCTGCGACCTGTGCCACAGGAGCAGGTGATATTTTTCTGCCTGGCGTGAAAGAATTTAATTCCTTGGGGTTGGGTAGTCTCTACATAGCCTGTTTCCTCACAGGAGTTAAGCCCAGCAGCACCACCCCCTGGGCCTGAACTTCCACCCTCCACACTGGACAGCTCTCAGGGAGAGGTAGGAAGCACTGTGCAAGCATCCTGTTCCCCACCCTCCCCTACCCCACCCCCAGGCTTGGCAATATATATGCAAATAAGTAGGAAGAGCAGTTTAGAATGGAAAGCACCTGAAAAGTGTCGTGCTCCTGGAAGAACATTATACTTGTTTAATTGCCATTGTAGGAGCTCCAAGTGGGGTGTGAGGGTGACATCACCTCCCTCAGTCAAGGTGATTCATGCCCCTCAATGTGGCATGAATGTGTTTTAATTTCAAGGTGTGAAGAGGTGAAGCTGGTGGTGTAGGCCAAGGGCTGGACAGATCCCCCAGTCCTCCCGCAGACTAATGGTTGTTTCTTAACAAAACCTTGTAAAGTAGGAACCTTTAGCTAACCGGCTCCTTCATGTATGAATGATCTTGATTCTAATGGCATCGTAAAGCTTTTTGGAGCTCACCTAGCAGCTTGGGGCAGTGCTGCGCATGCCCATTTTCATGTCCTCTCTTGTGTGTGTTCTTGCTGTTCCGTAGCTCTCGCGCTGTAGCTCAATGAGCTCTCTCTCACAGGAAGTGAGCCGGCATTTCCATCAGGTACCTGTGGCTGGCGGCTCTCCTTCCATGGCTGGCATGTAGCCTCTGTGTCCCTTTGCGAGTGCTGTCCCTTGTCCTGTGCACTTTGTCACTGTCCAGTCACACCCCTGTCTTACCCAGGCCTCTTTGTACAAAGATGCTTTTGTTCCTTCTCCTAAGCTAAACTGTGTGGACATGCTGACAGTGGAACTGGCCCTGGTGTTAAGAGTACCTGTGAGAGTTTTATAATAATTCTTCTGAGTTGGTTTCCACATGGCTACGTCAGTATGTAGGTTTCCACATGTCAGTGTCTCCCAGATCAGAACACCTCTCTTAGAAAGACAGGTTTCTTCTTGCAGGACAGGCTTGAGGAAGTCTGCTTGCAGCCAGCAGGATTGTGACTGGATTGTATCCTGTGGGTGATCTGGGAGAGAGAAAGAACTGCTCCATCTTCTGTGTGTGTTGTGGAGCCAGGCTTAGTCCATCAACTGCACACTGAGACACGGATTTAATCACATACACCAGGTCTCCTCACTGCTTGGGCTGACACTAACGGGACATCCTGGTGCCCCACGCTCGCTGTCTGTGCATGTAGTGATATTTAAAGCATTTCAATCTGCATGTTGCTTTGATCTTTGCCATTCTAATGTGAACCATCCAATAATGGAATCCAGTGTTGTCAGATATGTCTCTGCCCCATTCCTGTGGCCTATTGGAACATTAGCATCTTTCTGAGGAGCGGCCCATATCTGCAGCTGGGACAGCCAAGACTGAGTCATGCTGTCTTGCTGAGATGACCTTTCTGTGCTTCACAGGCTCCCAGTGATCACCGCTCTGCAGGGGGCCCTCCAAGCGGGGCTATACCCTTCTACAACCCTGCTCACTTGGCACAGGTGAGTGGCCCTTGCTTTTGACCAAATATGACCCCAGCTTACCTACTGGTTTTTGACTCTACTACTCGTTGAATGTCTCTTCTCCTCCCCAGACTCTTCCTTTTTTCATCCGTAGTTGCACACCTACAGGAGTGTGAAGAGGGGGTTGCTGGTCCCTCTTCCCTCTCTGCCATCTCTCTCTCATTCTCTCCCCCTTAGTGTTCTCTCAGCCAGCTTTGTGAGGGTCCAGTCCCTGGGCCTTCTGCTCTAGCACTGAGTGATCCTGAATGAGTGTCTTTGCTTCTTCCTATAGGGAAAGTGTGTGAGGTGTGACTTTTCCAAGTTGGGTTCTGCATTGTCTGCTATCCTTGGGTCTCTGGCCACAGGCTCCCATCCCAGGTCCTTTCCTCTCCATGACCTAGGGACCCGCTCTCCCAGTCTGGAGCTCCTAGTTTAGATCTTTCTTTTTTGTCTTTTCTTGTTAATCCCTTTGTCTTGGTGTGATACACCTTCCAGTAACTTCTTGACACAGTGGTGACATTGTAGGGACCTTTCACATCTGAAAATTCCTTTGTTGCCCTGGTTATTGGGTTGATGGTTGGGCTGGGTAGAATTCTCAGGAATTTTCTTCACAATCAAAGATGTTTTAAGTATCTTCTGGTGCCTGCTGTGATAAACCAGGCCCCCTCATCCTTTCTCCCTGATACCTGGATGAGTGTTACTGTCCTCAGGGACAATGTTTGTGCCCCCACCAACCAGCCTGCCCGCCCTTCTGCTAGGGAACCATTATGGAATGTTCTTCGTGGTTTCTCTCCTTCCATCTTTACTTCTATGTATTTATTTTGTGGAACTGGGATTTAAACTCCGAGTTTGTGCTTGCTGGTTATTTTGGAGATGGAATCTTGAGAACTATTTGCCTGGATGGGCCTCAAACCATGATCCTCCTAATCTCCCAAATAGCTGGGATTAATAGGCGTGAACCACAGGTGCCCGACTTGCTGTCTCTTCTTTATGTAATCTCTTGCCTGTGGGAGAGAATAGTCTGCCATTTGGAGGGAGCTGTGTCAGGAAAGAGGTCTGGGTGATCTTGACATTCTGAGTGTGAAGTTCATCTAGCCCTGCTGTCATGCGGACCCTGCCCTCAGCCACCTGCTAAGCTTGGCCTCACTCACTCCTGGGGTGCCAGCATACCCTGCTTTGGCCCTGTGCAGATGGAGTGAGACCCCTTACCCAGGACTGTTGCATCCCAGTCACACCTATGTCCATCTTTTCACTTCAAGATTTGGTAGTTTTCTTCACTCCTTTTTCCTCCATTCCATAGTTCAGTAGTCATTCCACACACCTGGGCTTGGATCTCAGCGAGGTCTTGAGAGGAAGGAACAGTAAATGCTGGTGTGTGGCCTTCCTTTGTACCTGGCTTCTCCTGTGCCCTGGAGCAGTAGGCAGGCCACAGGCCACTGTCCATCCCTGAACTCACTAGGCACTCAGCTGGGCCACTTTTCCAGAATCAGCCTCAGTGCTCACAGCTTACAGAACCACAACAAACAAACAAAAACACCTCTGCCATCTGGTTGACTGAGAAACACAGTGGTGAAAACTCAGTACCTTAAAGGGAGGTCTGGGGGCTGACTGCTTGGTTCTTGTAGCTTTAAACTGACAAAGAATGTGCCTGTTTGTGTTATCAGTCTCTGGGATTTATCCTGTAAACATGCATCCTATCACAGAGTTACTGGGCATTGCCCACCCTGGGGTGAAAATGTGGAGGTCAGTGCTGTTCCTTTTGTTCCAGGCCTCCATCACCTCAGGGAGCTCACGGCCAGGGAGGACTGGACAGAGAAAGTACCCGACGTTGAACTAGAATCATCGTTTTGGATTCATGACTCTTCTCTGCCAGGAACCGGACTGACTGCCGAGGGGTCTCGGGGTCCCCAAAGGGACATGGCAGTAATTCAGAGCCGGTCATACTGTGCATCCCTTCCTTTTTTACCCATGTGTATGAATTACTGCAAAATCAATTCCACTGTCCCTCTCAGATGCTGGATAGAGTGACTCTAACTCAAAATCTTTTACAGGAAATTCACTTAAGATGACTTATGGATGTTAATACTTTGAACCACTGGAGAATGCCGCATGGAGTGAGGCTGGACAGGGCTTGACCATAGCAGGGAGATGCTCCTCAAAAGCCAGGGCCTTGCTCAAACCCAAGGAGAAATTGTGCAGACTAATCCTAGGTTCCTTCAGGACACTTAGAGGAAAGAGTGAGTGCTTGAGCCAGTGCACACCACTGCCTGTCCCGTGACCTGGGAAAAGTTCATGGGCCAGAGGGGTTGCATTCTCCAGCCAGGGAGGGAGGGTCTGGTTACTGAGGAGTGTGTCTCTCTGGTAAGGAAGATGTTTGCAGCCTCACTTCACTTTCCATGGCTTGATAAGGACTGTGGGCGATTTCATACGCTCAGAGTGACCATCATGGCCCAGTTGCTGGCAAAACCCTGAAGAACTGATGTGAAGCGGCTGGTCTGGTTAACCAGTGCTGAGGGTGGCTGCTGGGCAGTTGGTCTGAAACTCCTGTCACATGTTTCAGGACACGTGAGCCAGCACAGCCCGAGGCCCAGCGGGCCCTGTGAAGGGCATGTGTGGTCCCCTCCAGCTGGCTGGCTCTCACCTGCAGACATCTTTTAAGGAGTTGGTAGTGTCTTGAAGGGGAGTGGCTTAAAAGAGTTTCTGGCAGACACTTTGGAAACGGGCATCTCTGCCCCTGAGTTAGTTCTAACACCAAGCAAGACCTTCCGCAGCCCCTTGCTGGCTCAGCCATATGTCACCTCCACTGACTGTTGCTGATCTAAGGAGGCTGAAAAAGAGATATTTAAATATTTATGAAAATCAGTAGGTAATAATTTGGGTAGGTTCTGCTGGGGAAACATAAACGGTTTGGTATTTTAAGTGTAGAAAATAGAGAATGTGGAATTAGCTCAGCCCTTCCCAGTTTTATTTCACTGCATCTAGGAAAGACCCCCAAAATAGTTTCCAGAATGTTCTGTAGACCAGTATGCTTGGACCCACCTGTTCCCATGTGTCACTGAGAAAGGCCCGCTCCTATGGGTGGACAGCTCCTAGTGTCCTTGCTGGCCGGACCCTCGCCCCTCCAGTCCAGCCCTGCCCTGGCTCTGTCCACTGCCAACCACTTGACTGAAGAAGCTTCCTCCCAGATGGGAGCTATTTTTCCTAAACGCAAACTGTTAAATAAAATATTTTGGGCTCTCAAGTGCCTTCCCTGTGGTTTCCTTTGTGCGTTCAGGGGCGAGAGTGCGTTAGTGCCCGGATCAGCAGGACCTCTATGCCCTGATCTGCCCGGGGGGCGGGGCCTGTGCGCGGGGGGCGGGGCTCTCCGGCGTCGCGCGGTCCTCCGGCCGCCAGGGGCCGCTGTGGGTGACCGGCGGGCTGCGGTGGCGCGATTGCAGGTGGGGCGACCACTGAGCCCGACTGGGCGGCCTCTGCGGGGGCCTGGACGCGGCGACCCCGGCGCGGGCCTGCGGTCGTTGCTCGGGCCTCCGTGGCCAGGCCGACCCCGCCTCCCCCAGCGCCCGGGCCAGCGAGGTCGGACCTCGGGCATCCGGTGGCGGTGTGCGGCCGAGCGGAGGGCGCTGGTGAGCCAAGGGTGGCGGAGCGCACCGGCCACCTGGCCCTCTGTGGGGCTCAGGGTTGGTTGGTGTGGCTACAGCGCCCTAAGCTGGGCGCGCCAGGGGTGGGGACAGTCTTCCCAGCATCTGAGGAGGAAGCGCGTTGTCACCTGTACGTGGACATCCTTTAGGAAGGCAAGCTGACCTCAGGGAGGAGACCCAGAGAACCCTAACTGCAGGGTCTTAGGACTTCCTCCAGGCGTTCCCGGGGAATCCGGGACTCCAGCCATGCGGCCACTGGATCTGCCCCCGAAGAAGCACCCCAAGCCAGGAAGGGAGTCTCCCGGGTTCTCTTTGCGCCCAGTTGGTGACCTCTGACTTGCATCCCTGACGTCGCTGTGTTGCCGGCAGCCCAGGCAGGAGCTTCTCTCTGGAGGGTAGGGCCAACGTGGGTGACCGCTGGCCAGGCCCGGATTATGCCGTCCAAGTCAGCGTGCCTGCGTCACACGGAGGCGCCTGGGCAGCTCCAGGGACAGCTTCCCAACACAGACAAGGACCTTGTCCCAAGCACAGGCTCCCTGCCTGTCACCCACTGTCAAGACCCAGAAAAGAGCCCCATGCCTCCTCTCAGCATTCCAGCAAAAACCAGCAACCAGGACTCACGAAAAATGGCAAAGCCCCTCGCCCCCCAGCCCCCCATGAGGCCCAGGCTGGAACGAGCACTGTCCCTGGATGACAAGGGCTGGAGAAGGAGGCGTTTCCAAAGCAGCCAGGAGGACCTAGCAGCCCAGGACGGGGCCAGCCCCTGCAGGAGCTCCATGCAGGACACCGCCTACGGTCACACCCTGCCCTGCCTGAGCACATCCTTACAGGAGATCCCCAAGCTCCCCAGGGCCCCAAGCAGTGAGGGAGGGAGCCCATCCTTGTGGAGTAACTGTCTCTCTGGGGTGATGAGCACCTCGCTGGACCTCCTGCACAGGGAGGCTACCCCAGCACGGAGCTCCCCCAGGCTGCCTGGCCTGCGTCACCCACCCTCAGCTTCCCCCATCGACCTGAATGTGGCCTCTGACTCCCTGAGGACAGCAAGCAAGGTGGACTCAGAGTATGCTGACCACAAGCTCCGCATACAGACCAGGCTTGTCCGAGCCAACAGCAGCCTGGGCCCTGGCCGGTCCCAGAGCCCCCTGGCCTGTGACAACCACTCCCTTCACTCAGCCAAATCGTCCTTCAGCCTCCTGGCACCCATCCGCACCAAGGACGTCAGGAGCAGGTAGGGCCTCCTGGAGGGAGGGGCGGGCTTCACCCAGCGGTCACCCATGGTCACTGTTTTGGGACCATGTGACAATTCTCATAAGAATGTCTAAGACGTGTGAACAGAGAATAAAGGGGCCACCCAGCTCCTCCCGGATGTTTTGCCTTTCCACTTCCTCTGTATCCTTCCAGAACTTTCCTTTGTGGCTTGGTGCCATCCATGGGCATGGCAGGCCTGCAGGTGGATCATTCTGCCCGTCCATTCCTTGTGTAGGCAGATGAAACCACACCCTTTGTGCGCCTGGCTCCCGTATTTTTCCTCTCCACGTTTTGCGTCGGGTGGCTTTCTGGGATCTCTGTCCTGGAGGGATGTGGAAGGGCTGTGCCCCCTGAGGCTGGATGTAACGAGCAGAAGGACTGGGCCGTTCACCCTGCAGCCATCTTAATCACGCTGACCACTCAGCTTCCTAGGGAGAGACGCAGCCTGCAAGGGGACAGTGACTTCCAAGCTGGTGACTAAAGGGCTGGCCTCCATTTATCCTGTGGTCTCCTGTGGTCATTTCCAATCAGTATGAAGCAGGAACTCGCTCTACCCTGACTGACTGGAGCGTGAGCCCATCCAGCCTATTATGGATTTTTCTGCAGTTTGGGGGAGAGGCCAAGGAGGTCGCCCACTCCTGGAAGCTTGGTGAGCTGCACTGTGTGGGTGTGAGGACTTTGTAGGGTTCAGCTTCAGCTGTGGCTCCAGGAGACACACTGTATAATTTGGACTCCTTCGGAGGAGTCCTGCTTTCCATCGGCAGGAAGAAGGGCAGGTTGGGATGGCAGGATTAAGTCAGGGGCCAGCCTAGTGGCGCACGCCTGTGATCCCAGCACATCACAACCCAGAGCCCAGCCTAGACAACTTAGGCAAGACCCTATCTCAGAATAAAAAATAAATAAGGGCTGTGAGCATAGCTTCGTGGTAAAGCACCTCCTAGTAAGCTCAAGGGCCTGGGTTCAATCCCCAGTACCACCAAAAGAAAAAAACCCTCTGGATTTCCTTTAGCTGATGTTGGACTGACTGATTCCATGCGTCCCTGTCCCAGTAAAGAGAAGTAACACAGTAAAAATCAGTACACACACAATAAACCCACAGTGTGGGAGTCAGCACAGAGGGTCCCACCCTCTTCTAGAAGTGGAGGTGGTTGGAGGCATGAGGAGGGGAGACGCCCATCCAGCCATAGTGCTGACTTGTACCCATTAGTCCAGCATCAGGGAGATGCCATCCACACCCTGGTGTCCCAAGCTGCTCTCTGTCACCTGCAGCACAGCCTCGTTGTGTCCCAGGCCCCATTCCACCTCCATGGCTTTTTTTCTACAGCAGGACCAGGAAGGACCAAGGTGATCGGGGAAAAGTGACCATAGACGTGCTCTTGAATAGAGTTGAGAATCTGCTCTGCTCAGGGAACAAGGATGTTCTGAAAACACTCATTGCCATTCTGAAAAACCAATGGCTCCCAGCACTGCCGGGGGTGCTGAATCCACAGGAACTGTGGGGACAGGGACATCTTGGGGAGTGGTGCAGGCTGGCACCCTCAGGACCTGTTCCTCCATCCTGGCGTCTCTGGGATCGGCAGGCCCGGGACAGTGGCCTTGGCAGGGGTGGGAATTCCATGGGGCAGACAATGTAGTCTCCCAGCTAGCAAACGGGTGTCCTGGAGGGGAGAATAGGGCCGTCATAAGAGTTAAAGAGACACAAAAGGTAAAGTAACCAAATGCAATGTGGACTTCACCTGGGTCCTGATTCAGAAGACACCTGCTTTAGCCCTGTGTCAAGGCCAGAATGAGTAGAATTAGATTGGGACAGCGTTCTGGACGGAAGGCTTCCGGAAAGAAGAGGGTCCTACAGGCAGTGCAGTCAAGCAGATGGAGGCTTCAGCAAGTGAACACCTGGCAAGGCAGAAGAAGAGCAGAAAGCAGGATGCAGTTATGGCAGCTCCTCCCTACTCCCTGCAGACAGACCCTGTGTCCTGCAGGAAGAGCATGAGGAGGGGGACAGTGACAGGAGCTGGCATCTCAGCTACTGTGAATGAAACAGGATCTTGAGAAGGGGTCACACAGATGTTTGTCGAGGGAACCAGTGGGACAGGACTTGGCAGGGCTGGCCACTGCCCGTTTGTGTATAGGCAACCAGCTAAGGCCAGCTTCCATTTCTAAATGGCTGGAAGAAAATCAGAACAATTCCAACATTTCACGGTGCATGGGAACCGCATGGTTCAGAGTTCAGTGTCTGCAGCTGTGGTTTCCAAGTGGTCCGTGGTGCCAGCATGGCAGAGCCAGGCAGTGTGACAGAACCTGGATGGTCCACAGAGCTGTGTAGATGTCCAGTGTCTGCATGGCTAGCCTGCTAGCTTCTGTGGCAGATGAGGCAAGTGTGTGTCCTGAAAGGGTCCGAGATTTATTGCACTGCAATTTGACAGTGCTTGAAATCTGTTGAAATCTGAAGATGGAGCCAGGCATGGTGGTGCACACCTGTAATCCCAGATTGCAAGTTGAAGACCAACCTAGGTGAAAGTTAGTGAGACTACATCTCAGAAATGCAAAAACAGAAGTGTTGGGGATGTGGCACAGGACAGAGCACTTGCCTAGCATGAACAGGCCCTGGGTTCAATCCCTAGTTCCACACATGCACTCATACAAAAAAAAGTGAACATGGGTTAGAACTTTGGGGTGTCAGGCAGCCTTCTCCACCTCCCGGTCCTGGGGTCTCTCAGGCATTGCGCCCACAGGAGTCTTGGAGGAAAGCCAGGTCCCTTCCAGGAAGGAAAGCACTGTGCCCACTGAGCCCTGCTCAAGGCACCTCCATGGCCTCCAGGAACTCATCCACGACACAGCCCAAAATGACACCTTCATGTCCCGTCGTGGTGGGGGAGCACACGTGGTGGGGGAGCACACGTGGTGGGGGGTCTCTGGGCTGCACTCTTGCTCAGGAAACCCTGACTCCAACATTCTGTGGGGGTAACAGTGTTGCCTTTTAGAGCCCAGGTGCCCTATTGCTGGCCTCATGGCCTCTAGGACAGACCCACAGACAGTGTCTCTGCAGCCACCTGCCCGGGAGGCTCCTGGGCCGTCTCGGCACCATCCCAGCTGGGCCCTCATTCCATCCCTTCTCTTTCAGGAGCTATATGGAGGGGAGTCTCCTGGCCAGTGGGGCCCTGCTGGGGGCAGAAGAGCTGGCCAGGTACTTCCCAGACCGGAATGTGGTGCTCTTTGTGGCCACCTGGAACATGCAGGGCCAGAAGGTGAGAGGTGCCAGAGTGAGGTGGGGCTCAGCGAAACAGGGGTGACTATAGTCTGTGTCTTCGGGGAACCTGATCCCTGCGTGGCCCCCATCCTAGGGACAGGAGGCCCAATCCCCCCCGAGCAAAGCCCACTGCCAGCCGCAGTTGGGTGTGAAGAAGGGCAGCAGGGTACCTTTTCCACCTCCCTGGCCACAAGTCTGTATGAGGGACCAGACCCACCAAAAATGGCCTCTGTGTGCGCCCCAGGGGGCAGCAGGGATGTTCCTGGGGGATCATTATATGTGGGAGCATGCAGCACAGCCTGGGGTGCACAGCAGGGTTAGGCCATAGGCTGGGGTGGTGCTAACGGGACAGGCTTGTGCTCAGGAAGGGAAACTGAGGCAGGGCAGCCTGCCCAGGCCTGAGGCATCTGCTGTGTTGAGGCTGCCTGGGAAATCAGAACCACAACTGTGTCAACTGCCAGGGACTCTCCCCCAGCCTCCTTCCTGGCCTGAGAGGAGCCTCACAGCTTTGACCATCCCGGGCCTCTTCTCTGCAGGAGCTCCCACCTAGCCTGGATGAATTCCTGCTGCCCACCGAGGCTGACTACACCCAGGACCTGTACGTCATCGGGGTCCAGGAGGGCTGCTCTGACAGGTAGGGTACGGGCTCAGGCCCTTGCAAGCATTGGGCTTTCCAGTGTTGCACGTGGACAGTGCTTGGAGATGGGCCTGTGAGCCTGAAGCTGAGAAGCCTGACACCCCATGTGTGCCAGACAGGCGGTATCCACACCTTGGTGAAATGCAAGTCAGTTTCTTTGCCAATGGTGAATCTAAAAGGAACGACATTTTAAATTTTGTAAAAAGTTGATCTAAGAGAGCGTAAAGGCAGTAAAGAGCAGCACTGGTGTTTCCTGAAGCCCCTTGGCCCCTCCCAAGGGCCCTCAGCTGAGCTCTGGAAGATGCTGCTGACCCATCCTGACTGGTTCCCTGGGGAGAGGCACCAGGGCGCCCCTCACTGAGCTCATGGAGGTCCTTATCTGTGTCAAGAGAGAAGCAGCCTGCCTATTGCAGGAACTCTGGGAAAGGAGCTCTGCCCCAGGGTCCCCGAATGGAGGTGGGGCTCCCTCCTGCCAGCCTGTGGGTCCAGGCAGGCAGAAGGGTTTCTGCCGGGGGACCAGGGCCATTTGTGCCATTAAAGCAAGGACTTGGCCTGCAACCTACCACAAAGTCTGGTCTGTCTGACGACATGCCTCCTTTTTGCTTGCCCGCCTCTCAGCGCAAGATGACAAGGCCAAGTAGTGAGGTTTCTCCAAGTGGCTCTTTTGGGGGCTGTCTGGCTGGGGACGGCAGAGCTGGAGTGGCCTGCACTCCCCAGCTGCTCTCTTCGCCCTGCAGGCGGGAATGGGAGACGCGCTTGCAGGAGACACTAGGCCCGCGGTACGTGCTGCTGTCCTCGGCCGCCCACGGGGTACTGTACATGTCCCTGTTCATCCGCAGAGACCTCATCTGGTTCTGCTCAGGTAGGAGCCACCACTGCTGCCACATCCACCAGGCACACTGTGCCAGGTGCAGCCAGAGGGTGAACGGCACCGTCATGCAGCAGGCACCTTCAGTGACCCCCTCCTCTCCGCCCCATGTCGGGCCCTCACGGCCCACCGAGTTCCCGTGTCCTAGCAGGGCCACAGAGTCTGCCCCCACCTCCTTGTGGGCCCCTCGAGTCACCCCCATCACTCCCCACCCCCGTGTCCTAGCAGGCCTTCTCAGTCCAGTCTGTCCCTAATTCCCCACCCCCTGAGCCCCGCCGCGTCGTGGGCCCGCTGACCCCTGGTTCCCCGCTCTGCAGAAGTTGAGTGCTCTACCGTGACCACGCGCATCGTGTCTCAGATCAAGACCAAGGGGGCCCTGGGCGTCAGCTTCACCTTCTTTGGCACCTCCTTCCTCTTTATCACCTCTCACTTCACCTGTAAGTCACTCTGAGGTGGAACCCTGACACATTAGCTTAGAAGCAGCTTCCTCTCCACCTGAAGGCCTGTCAGCAGATAGTTGCCCGTCCCTCAGGGTTGCGGGGTCACTCAGTATATGGCAGGCTCTGCTTGGCCTCTCTGTCCTCTGGGGCAGACCTGCCTGGTGCCTCATGGCAGACAGCTGCACAGCTGGTGGTTGGAGCACAGTGGGGCAAGAGCTGTCTGCAGATACTTTAGGCTCCAGCTGCCTCCCACTCCTTTCTGTCCCCACAGCTGGAGATGGAAAGGTGACAGAGCGACTGCTGGACTACACCAGGACCATCCAAGCCCTGGCCCTGCCCAGGAACGTGCCAGACACCAACCCCTACCGCTCCAGTGCAGGTGAGGGCTGCAGCTCATACGGCCTCTCCATCCTGCGTGCTGTCCTCTGCTCCCTGTTCTCTGGGTGGCTTAGCAAACCATTTAGGGCTTTTGACAGTCAAGATCAGAAAAGTGCAGATGTCAGGGCCACAAGGAGCTGAGACACGGTCAGCTCACCGCCCACATCAGGACTGCTATGTGCACCTGGACACTCGGGTGTCTTCTGGATTGTCTGCAGCAGTCCTAGCTCAGACAACCGGAAATCCTCTACTGCCCAGCTAAGGTTCTTGAGGGATGGGAACACAGACAAAGGAGTCCCTGTCTTGTGGTCTGTGCCCTGTCACTGGGGCCATAGCCGGTGTGGGGAGGCCAGCACCAGAACACTTCCCCATGTGCAGCGGATGTCACCACGCGGTTTGATGAGGTGTTCTGGTTTGGAGACTTCAACTTCCGCCTAAGTGGTGGGCGTGTGGCCGTGGAGGCCATCCTGAAGAAGGATGTGGAGGTGGACGTGCAGGCGCTGCTGCGGCACGACCAGCTTACCCGGGAGATGAAGAAAGGTGAGCAGCTTGGGGGCAGCCAGCACCCATGCTGACCTGAGCCCCTCTGATCCAGCCTTTGTGTCGCAGGGTCCATCTTCAAGGGCTTCCAGGAGCCGGACATCCACTTCCTCCCATCGTACAAGTTCGACATCGGAAAGGACACCTACGACAGTACCTCGAAGCAGAGGACCCCCTCCTACACGGTATGTGCCTCCGACCCAGCCCCTGCGTGGCCCTGGTGCTGCTCACCGCCTGCCAGATGGATGGTTTCCAGAGCAGGGCCTCCCGTCGGCCATAGCTGACACCCAGCAGTGTTCCAGCACGTGACGGGCGGAACACCCATGGGCCCATGCTCCGAGCCTGAAGCCAGCAACTGCCTCACTGAACGCTGTGCTTGGGGATAGTGCCTCCTGAAAGGCTGGGCACAGCACCTGCCCTGCACGTGCCCAGGCCAAGGCCGGCTCCGCGCCCTGGCTCCACGCTCCAGGAGGGAACTAACAGCAGGCACTTGCACTGGCGAGTCCTTCTCCCAGCCCTGGCTCTGGGCACACCATGGCCATCTGGGTACCCTGGGGTAGCCATGGGGGCAAGGCAGCCCCCGCTGCTCTCGGAGGGCTGGGTAGAGCAGGCTCCACCCACACAGGTCTCTTAGAGGCTGGCAAGGCAGTGGGGAGCTTCCTGGGTTGGGCCCAGAGGGCCCAAAGGCCCTTGCCCTGCAGCAGAACTGTACTCCACCTCTGCTCCTGCCTCGCCTTCTCTTCTGAAGGATCGGGTCTTGTACAAAAGCCGCCAAAAAGGTGATATCAGCCCCTTGAAGTACTCCTCCTGCCCTGGGATCAAAACGTCTGACCACCGCCCTGTGTACGGCCTGTTCCGGGTGAAAGTGAAACCAGGACGAGACAAGTGAGTCCCCCATGTCTCCCCGTCGGCGCTGACTGAGCCTTGGGCCAGGCCTGGACTCTTGCCAGTCCCTGGGTGGGATAACATTCCTAGGGTGACAGGCTTGAGGGTGGAGGTGCACACCACTGCCTCCTTACGCTGCCTGCAACACAGAGGTAGAGATGGGGTGCCAGCAGCCCCTGGAGTGGTGTGTACTCACCGTCCTGAGCCCACGTCCGTAACCCTTAGTGTTGCATGCAGAGGCCTGTTCTGTGACCCCAAGCTGTGCTCCCCAGGCTGTGGCTTCTTCTGCTGGGCCAGAGCAGGCCCTAGGAAGCTGGCTGGCTGGCTAGGGATTGGGGCGGCCTGGAGGGACAGAGGTAGCCTGAGGGCAGCCCGCCCCTGGACTTGGTCCTGTGCGGTGAAGGGACCACCTGAAGCTGAAGGTAATTGTGGGTGCTGACGCTCTTCCTTCTACAGCATTCCACTAGCTGCTGGCAAGTTTGACCGAGAACTGTACTTAATAGGAATTAAAAGACGGATTTCAAAAGAAATTCAGAAACAGCAAGCGCTGAAGAATCAGAACTCCAGCACTATCTGTACTGTTTCCTGAAGCTGTCCAACAGGGATGTGGCATGGCAGCATGGGAGGGCATTTGACCAGAAGTAGCAGGAAAGACTCAGCTTTTGCTCTCAGGCACTTCTCACCCTTTTTGGGGTCCTGATGAACTGCTGCTAGGGGCTGTCATGTTTTCTCACCAAGAAGCCTCCAGGACAGTGGTGGGCTATGACCACTGTGTCCAGACCGAGGAAGGAAGCCACCTGCGTGTAGCTAGGCAAGCCTGTCCTTTTTTTGTGACACATCCCCACAGGCACCTACCTGGCAGTGTCACACCTTGTCACATGCAGCAGCAACAGTAGTCTGCCTCAAACAGCTCCCATGTTCTGGAGAGGAGCAATCTCGCTTCCTGCGGCCAGCACTGGCAGCCTCTCCCTCAGCCTCCTATATTCATGTCCCCATGCTGGAGCCCAAGTGTCTGGCCCCAAGGCCTCCTAGAGGCCCGTCTCCCTCAGAACCCTCCCCACAGGTGTCTGTGGAGGGGTGGGGTCGATGTCAAGCATCAGCTGGGGACTCAGAGCACAGCTGCCCTGGGACACGCAGGGGCTGAGGAGCCATCAGAGGCCGAAGTCAGATGCTTCAGGGATGTGCTGGGCTCCCCTCTGCCAGACTGATAGCTCAGGGGGCCTCAGGATCCTAAGTCCCGGTCCCATGGGCTCCCACCACCCCTGCAACTGAGTAAGGACCACCCTGCCTCCCTTCCCCACAGGCCAGGCCTGGCCACGTGAAACTCCTTGTTTTAGGGATTTCAGACCACTTGCTTTTGCGACACCAGCCACAGAATGTGGCTGTTAGCAGTGGTGTTTGTTGTCCAACCTATATGCTAGGCATTTCCACTTCCTTCTGGCTTCCTGTCCTTAAAGAGGGCTTAGACCTCGTTGTCACTTTCTGCGTCTTACCCCACCCTTTGAGAAGAATGTAGCCTTTAATGTACAGAAATCTAGGGACTTCCTCACCAGTCTTCTAAGTTTATTTATTTTTCATATTTATATTTTTAATAAATACATATATTGAATCCTAAACTCTTTCTGGCCAAAGATTGAATCTTGGAAAGAAAGCCTGCGTGCTTACCTTATTCTTAGGATGCTCTTATTTTAAAAGGCTGTAAAAGACAAAAGCAGCAGTTTGATGTCAGCTGTCAGCTGCTGACCAGTCTTGCCCAGGTCACCTGTCCTGGCCGTTCCTGCTGAAGGCAAGAGAAGGCATTTGCCAGAAAGGGAGAGGTAACTGGAGCAAACCGGAGCAAATCCAGCACATCACGTGTGAACTTTTGTTAACGTCAGCTTCCAAAATATGGGATGTACACTCTGAAGCAGGGCCATGGAGTCTCTTGATCAAAGGGGAGAGGCCTTAAACGAGGCAACCACTTCAGTACACCGGTGACTCAGATGGTCTGGGTGTAAAACTGTGCCCACATTTTAAAGAAATGAAGATCTCTGTTCCAATGAGTCAGGTTTGCGAGACTCTTTCTAGGTATTTTCTGCCCCAAGCCTTGGAAGACAGTGGTGGGCTATGACTATGACCACTGTGTCCAGACCGATGATATGGAGCATCTTAGTTTGACCCGAGATCAAAAGAGCCAAGAGGATTTTTTTTCCTTAGCGGGGGAATGGAAGTGGGGGAGACCTTATTACAGCTAATAAGGTCCTGGGGTCAAAAGTGAAATGAACTCGATACTAGCCACTCATTACATTTTAGACAAACGGCATCTCACTTGGAAAGTCAGTTTAAGGTGACGCAGGCCCGTAACCCCAGCTCTCAGGAGGCTGAGGCTAGAGGATTGAGGCCAGCCTGGGCACCTGGTGAGACCGTCTCAAAAACCCCCGCAAACCCAAAATAAATCAATAAAACTCATACTCTCATTCTCTCAAACACAAGTTGCTTGTCCTTCATCCAACAAGTGCTGGCCACCAGCAGTAACAAGAGTAAAGGGCCAGCACAGTCCTCCCCCGGGAAGTCCTTTCCGATGGGGCAGGTAGACTAGGAAAGGCCACAGGAGTATGCACTACTACGAAAGAGAAAAGACAGAAGGGGTGTGGCCAGGGAAGGCAAGAAGAGGGACATGAGGGCAGGGAGGGGCTATAGGGAAGCCTGGCTCCTGGCTAAGGGAAGGCAGGGAGAGACCTGTGCAGAGCAGAGCCTGGGGCACACAGCGGGGAACTACAGGACACATGGATCAGCATCAGCTAATCCAAAACACTAATATGTGGTAAGTAGAACAGTTTCTAGAACATTCTAATGGCCCAGCAGTTGAGGACAGAGCCTGTACCTCCTGGCACCTCAGGAAGCTGGCTGGCTCCAGTTGCGACCAGTGTTGCCTGGGGCACCTGTGCCTTTGCACAACATCTGCTGTGAGACTCAAGCTCTCTGTGCTGCAGTCACTTCTTTCCCACACGGTAACCAGAAGGTTCCCAACAGCCTGCTCCTGCAGCAGGCAGGTGGGACACAGGCACAAGTAGTAGCCTGCCTGTGCTCCAGCCCCAGTGGACTGGATGCAACCAGCAGGCAGGGGGTGGATGCCTCCAGGTGTTCAAAAACACAACAGGCATTAGCAGTAAGGACAACAAATGAGAGGCCCTGGAGTCTGGCTTCTTTAAGACACCCACCTTGCATAGGGACAGCCAAGGGCAGGCCTTACTTCTCAAAATAGACAAGCTACAGTCAAACAGAACTGCACAGCACAGCTTCCCATGACCCAGGAACTGCCACGTGCCCCAGGCTGCACTTTCACCCACCACAGCACCACAGCCACCCCATGAACTTTAACCATGTTCCCAGGCCTGAGCTCTGCCACGGAGCCCCGTGAGTGTCTGCGTGCGAGAACCGTTCACATGTACTGCCATTTCATGTGAGGCTAGTTCCTACACTGTCTGCAGTGACAGATGGAGTTCCACGGCCCTTGTGTTTCCACTGCTAAGCGTCCATAAGCTCTGCTATAACTGCATGCTGCCACTGACTGAAAGTAGGGAGCTCCTGGCGCTTAGCCACACTGACACCTGGAACCAGCACGGGTCTCAGAACTGAGGGAGAAAAGGCTCTAAGACACCAGGCCAAACGGGTATTCTCAAGGAGCAGGGCCGTTATTTAGGAAAGTGGGCAGTTAAGATAGGCCTTTACCAATCCCTCCCATAGCAGAGGAAGAAGGAACACAGCGTGGTAAAAGAAGTCACCATTTTATTGGCAGAGACAGTGGCTGTGTGAGCCAACCATGCTCTGGGAAGCACAGTGGAACACAGCAGGGCTGCAAGCCAGGGCCAGCTGACAACCACACCCATGCTTCCAGCCCCTGCTTTCGCAGCTGAGAACCCCTGAAAGTGAGCATTTGGAATGGCAGAAGACTGGTTCTAGTCCTGCGCCCTGCCTGCCTTCCACTTGGGAGGGAGAGGGTAGTATTTATCCTGCTTGGCAAGTTCTGGTCTGAGGAAATAAAAAAAGCCGCACAGGTGTGGCAACCTTAACTTCGCTCATTCAAGTTCAAAAGCCTCACAGTTCACACTGTTTATAGAAGCAGACCCCTTACACTAAGTTCACACAAAAAGTAACGTGTGGAAACAGGATCCTCTGCAGCCTTAAGAGTCCTCAAGGGTCTTGGGGGACTCTACCGGAAGAGCCGGTATGTCCTGGGCAGGCGCCCATCTCTGCTTGACAGCGCTGCCTGGATGTGCTCGTAGGTGGGCAGGTCAGTCAAGTCACCCAGGGCGGCCACCGCAGGCTTCCCACGGAGCATCTTAGAAGCAACTCTCTTAACATCTTCTGGCTTCACGTTACCTAGCAGATAGCAAGAGGATGTCAGGCCTCAACACATGTCTCCACTTCAAGGCAGTGGCCACTATCTGGACCCAGGCAGGCTGGGAGGGCTCCAGAGGCCCCGCTGTAACCAGGGTGACTGAGGGGGATTCAGAGTGAAAGGACAGAAGAGAATTTTCTTAGTAAATGGGAAAGTGTCAATGGCTTAACATTATTTTCAAATATATGAGAGCAGTTGTGTGTAGTAGTCCATGCCTGTAATCCAGGCATTTGGGAGGTGAAACCAGAATTGAGAGTTCCACAACAGCCAGGGCTACAAAGTGAGACCCTGTCTCAAAAAAAAAAAAAAAAAATCGATCAATCAAATGCAGGAGGATATACCCACACCAGGAGTAATTACATTTAGAGGGGGTTTCTTGTCTTATGGATTCACTTTATCCCTCAGAGCTGCACCTCTAGAGCAGCTGCACACACACAGCCTACAGGTCAGCCTTCAAGAGGGGATCCAGGAGCCACCAGGAATCCATTCCCCAAGGACCCTTCAACCAGGTACGGTTGTCCTCTATAGAAGACAAGGCCTCACAAAGATTGCACGGAGCTGTGCTCAAGGACCCAGGGACTCCTAAAGGAAGAACAAGGGCCCGCATGAGTCCCCAGCAGGATTTCAAGTACAGCAGGGTGAGTTGAAGTGACCTCAAAGGACAGGTGCACCAGTTACCTGGGCTGCCCCACCTATAAGCAGCTGTGTGCCTAGCTTTACACCTGGCTCCAGAAGAGACCAGGCAAACACTGCACAGGCATGAGACATCCAGCCGGAGCCACACAGACAAAGCACTGCGGGCATACACCACTCCAAATGTGAAACAGGGTTCTGTCCACTAGTCCTCCTAAGACCTCCACAAGGTGGTGACAGGCCCTCCAAGGCTGCAGAAGGCTGAGTTACCATGCCCATAAGGGGCCCATCTGTCCATTCGCACCAGGGTGTGGTCTCATCTGAGCCCAACCCAGGCCACTGCCAGCACATACTCACTGATAAGCGTGCACAGCTCATGGGGCAGCTTTCTGGAATGGGTAGCCAGCACCTGCCTCCCCACGTCCTCGAAGATCACAGGCCTGGCCTCCAGGTTCATCATGAGCATCGCCATCAGCTGTGTCTTGGCCCGCTCCAGCTCCACCTAAGGGCCACACATCACCCGTCACCCATGTGTCAGCAAAAAGGCCTTATGAGTACCAAAAGACGAACATGGGAGGGAGTCTGTCCCCAGGCCTGGGTCCCAGGTGCAAATGGGAGCTGCACTTAGAGCTGTCACCACCTGAGATGGGGAAATGTGCCCTGATTCTCCCTTTGCTGCCTGTCTGAGATTTCAGCAGAGCGAAATGCTGAACACCGAGCTGGGCCCCAAGGTGGCCACATGGTAAAGTCAGGAGGAAAGCGATCAAACACAGATCTTGGCTCCATGCAGGGCCCTAGGCACAAGAGCCCAGGCAATGTTCAGGGGCTTCTGAGGAAGCTGAAGTGACACCTCTGCAAGCGCTGAATCTCTGACCAGGTGTGGATTTTAAGACTGTGGCTCCAGGACTCAGGGTCAGGAAGGCCAGGCCACAGCAGCATGAGAAACGCTGCCAGTGGGTCTCAGAGCTATCACACTTCAGCTGACCTTAAGACTATGTATCATTTGTATGTAAAATAGTTTCTCGCTCAACACAGGCCATTTTCACGTTTGTAACTTAAGGCAAGTAACTTGCATGCTGTAAATTTATCTCAAAACAACTTTACATTAGTAGAAAGTATCATTTTTCTAGTAAGATCTATTATTATTTGGGAGGCGGAGGGAGTCTGGGGATGGAACCCAGGACCTTGTGCAAACTAGGCAGGTACTGCACTACTAAGCCATGCCCTGGGTCTTTTGAGACAGGGTCTCGCTAGCCTCAAACCAATGATGTCTACCCTCCTCCTGAGTACTGCAATTAACAGGTATGTGCCACTATGCCCAGTAAGACTTATGAAACTTAAAATACATTTTTAGCCCATTTTTTTCTCCCACCCCATGTCTCCCCAGGCACAGGGCCTGGGCTGAGGTATATATGGAGTAGGTTTACTTTGCCTCCTCTTTCTGTACAATCAAGGTAAGAACACAGCCTGTGGTAAGTACCAGGAGGCTTTAGTCTTAAAATGATGCTTTTTTCACTTAATAGCTGTGTAAAAACAAACAAAAACCTTTCTTTTCTGATTAAAAAGGGAGCATGTGGTCATTACAGAAAACCTGGATTGCAGTCAATGTGTGCTGCAGAACTGCAGGCCTATCGTGCCTGTGGCTGGCCACGCCCCCATGGCGTGAGCATCTGTGTACATGTGCACGTGTGTGCGTTTGTGTTTTCTATGTGTATGCAAAATTTACTTATTTTTTTATTAGTTCTGGCCCAGGAAGTAACGAGGCTTCTAAACATCAAGGTAACCTACAAAAACCAACCTGAAATAAATGCTATTGGCTTCAAGTGTGGCTCAAGTGGTCAAACACCTGCCCAGCAAGCATGAGACCCTGGGTTTAGGCCCCAGTACCACCCAAAAATAAAGAAAGAAAAGTCTAGAAAAAGCCCGTTTCTGCTCCTAGTCTTACACAATGCTGCTTTAATTCACAAGTGTTCGGTGGGTGGGGTCAGGGAGGACACAGTGTCCTCAGGATCAGACTGTGGAGGCCCAAGAGTAGAGTGGAGCAGCCCAGCCCAAGCCTGTGCCACCTCTTGGCTTTGACTCTGCCAGGACAGGACGCAAGGGCTGAGAGGACAAGTCTAGAAGTGGCTCCAGGCCTTACTTACCACATCCACAGTTCCGCCCATCAAAATAAACTCCTTCGTAATGATTTCTACCATTTCTCGAACCTATGAAGGGAGTAAATGAGGGCGGTGAGCTGTGCCTGTCAGCCTGCCGACCCCTCAAGCAGGACCCGGGCATGGAGGAGCAGCACTGTAGAGAGGCTAGGGCTGAGGGCAGGCGGACAGCAGGCGGACACCACATGGCCCTCACCTGTCTCGGGTCAGCGCTGGCATGGATGCACAGGAGGCCTGTGTCCTCATAGCTATGATGGTAGGAGGTCGCACTGTACATCCAGTGGTGCCTGTGGGGGACATGCAGCGGCTTGGACAAAGGTAATGGCCAACATCAGGCCACAGGAACTGGAGAAAGCATCAGAAAGTAGCATACGGTTCAAATGCGCTTGGTGGCCTGGGGACAGCCACTGCGAGAGTGGCACCAACCTGTTGAGCACATTGAGGTAGAGCCTGGAGAACATGCCCTTGCCAGGCCCGCCAGCCGAGAAGGAGCCCCCTCCTCCCATCATCATGTTCAGCACGGCGAAGGGGATGAAATCCTCCTCCTACAGGAACGAGACAGCAGGCTGTCAGCCAAGGGCAGCCTGGCCTCCTGGGGCACACCTGACCCATGCTGACTCACCAAGAAGGAACAGCTCTCCAGTCCCACCATGATGTGCGTGAGCTCAGGGATCGGAGTTGGGCCCAGACTGACATTGGACATATCTCTCTCTAGCTGTGAGATCAAACAAGCATTATGCAGAAACCCTATGCAAGCTGAGTGCTATTGGCTCATACCTGTAATCCTAGCTACTTGGGAGGTTGACATCGGGAGGATTGCAGTTCAAGGCCAGCCCAGGCAAATAATTTTAGAGATCCCCCATTTCCAAACATTAACCAGAGTGAACTGGACAGGAGGTGTGCCTCAAGTGGTAGAGCGCCTGCTTTGCAAGTGTGAAGCCATGCGTTTAAACCCCAGTCCCACCAAAAAAAAAAAAAAGAGAAACCTGGCACAAGCAGGATACATTCCCACAGGAGGAAGAGCCATGCCCAAGCAGGCGCTCAGGCTGAACTCGGTTCTAAGGCTCCTGGCTTCACATAGGATGCATTCATGCCCTCCTGAGGGAAAGCAAATACAAACACAGACCAAAGCACACACAAGTACACAACCCAGGACAGGAGCTTTCCCAGCACCAGGTTACCTTGACAATCCCGCCGGTGTACTGCGCCATGGATCTGTCAACATCCACAGTCCTGACAGCCCCCCAGGTGGGCTGGGCTCCAAGGAGGTACTTTCCAGCACATTCTACCAGGTGCTCGTGCTCGACGCCCACTCCTGCCAACACCATGCGGTCAGGGGTGTAATAGTTCTTCAGGTAGGAATGAAGTACCTCTCGATCAATCTTTGCTATGTTTTCTGTGGGGCAGAAACGGTGCAGGCCCACTGTGTTCCCCCTATAAGCAGCCTGGAGAACAGGGGAGGGGGAAAAAACGGGAATGAGGAAGTGAATATATGGCACTGCCTCCAGCTGAACCTCTGGAGAAAAGACTGCTCATTTCAGCCACAGTTGGGCAGGGGCACCTCAAAGAGTGTTCTCACAAGTAGTAAAGTCCACCTCTCTAGAAAGAGAAATCACAAAAAGGGTCCTATCAATGGGGGAGTGGAAAAAAAATCTCATTACTGCATGAGGTGGAAAGCACAGACCCTGCATGAGCAGCAGGTTCAGAAGTTCAGGCTGTAAACACCCACTGTCTACAACAGAGGCCAAAAGTGGGGCCCAACCACCCAAGGAGGCCACTGCTATGGGGACATGGGGCATGCATGAGCCCGTATATTTTACTTCGTGAATCATCTCAGTGAGCAGTGGCTCGGGGTCAGGTCGCATGTTTAGGTCCTCCAACTCAAACTGGACCGCCATCCGTGTCATCTCGATTTCTTTATCTGCAAGAATCCAGAGACAAGGACTTGGTCTGCACTGGTGACAACACAGAAGACAGTACTAACCCTCAGCACTGAGTTAGGCTGAGTCAGCCAGGTGCTGTGGTCACCTGTCTTCACCAGGGACAGCACAGGAGCAACTATGTGACCAAAGGGGAGTACCAGCTGAGCAGGAACCAGGGACATGGGCCTCTCATCCTCTTCTGCCTCTGCACAGCTTGGACCTGTTCCAAGCCTTGGCTGCCTTACCAGTAAAGGGCACTGACAGCATTCAACCTGTCTGTCCCAAGGTACAGAGCTGTGAGGACCCAAAGCAGATATAATGACACTTAGAAGACACAGACCAAGCCAGGGCACCATTCCTCTGCTGGCTATGACAAGAACTGCAGCCTTGGACACAAGGCCAGGCTGCTGTGAAACAGAACACATCAGATGGCTGGGACAGCCAGCCTCCCTTCCCTGCTGGCTCACTCCTAGCAGGGACTCAAAGTACCACCATTTGCCAATGGAAACTGTGGGCAAAAATTATTAAACCTCCTGACCCCTTAAAGGGCACAGAGACTTGACAGAGCACTAAGTGCTCTCTAAAACGCTAAGGACTGTGTGCAGCCCTGGCACACGAGCCCATGGCTCCTACCATACAGTGCCCTTCCTCTAAGTGACAGCCCTCCACTAACCGCCCCCCACTTTGCCCCAGGCCCACCTCCGTACTAAGAGCCACACCTGTTAGGCGGGGGTGCAGAACCACATCAGCCAGCAACCCCACCACAATGTCCAAGCCTTTGCTGTCAGCAGATACAGCATACATAGTGGTGTCTCTGGAAGAGAAATAAGTCAACAATGCCAGAAGCTGAGTTCCTACCTGACAGGTCAACCCCAGCCCCAAGGCCCTGTGTACCAGAGGATTTTCCAGCAGACTTCCCCCCTCTCATTCTATTAGTGTGAATTCCTGACAGGAAGAGCCAGAGCTGCCCATAGAGGACGTTTTTGTGTAACAGACACTGCTGAGTCAAACTGAGCCATCCTATCTCGGTCTACCTAAACATCGGCTCTCTCAAAAGGAGATGCGTATCACCCGGCGCATTCTAAGCCTTGGCTGAACAAGCCGGCTGGTCCATATAGAAACGTGTCTGGCCGCGGAAGGCTTGGGGGACAGAGCACCTGGCTCTCAGGAAGCCTGTTGTCTGGGTGTAACTTTACCCGTGACACAAGGCCCTGATGGTCAGAAGTGTGCAGGAGGTCAAGGACGAACAAGCATGAAACCACCACGGGACCATGTGAGATGCAGTCAAGGTGACCACATACGAGACACAGCTGCCACACAGAAAGGACTGGGCTTAAGGGGCAGGACACGATCATATGCCTTCAGAAGGGACGGGATGGACCTCTGCCCTGGACAGGGGCGGCTCACAGTGGACTGCAGTCCCATGTGAGGTGGAGGCCCTGACATGCTAGGCTTCCTCCAGCTAACTTTCCTTACGTATTTTCGCAGTGTTGGGGATTGACCATGCTAGCTAAGTGCTCTGCCCCTGAGCTGTATCCACATCCACCCTCTTTGTTAGCTTTAGTTCTTAGCAGCCAGTTATGTCTGTCACTTTTTTAGCACTCAGATTTAAGTAACTTTTTTGTTGATTTTGGTTATTTGAGACAGTCTCCCTACACAGCCCATGGCCTAGAATTTGTGATTGTACTGCGTCAGCCTCCCACGTGCAGGGATTACAGCTGTGCACCACCATGCCCAGCAACATAGCCAATCATTTTTACAGTCTGTGATCTGTGTCCACCATCTCACATAGCCCAGAGCTTTCTGAATGTGGTCCAAACCTATGTCCCCCACTGCACCTGTACTTCAGCTACACACCACCCCCTCTTAGTCCCAGATAGCCTGTGGCTGCTTCCAGCTAAGCTGGAACACCTGCCATGTCTGTGTCTAGAATGCCCCTAACTTCTCTATCCAGCAGACCCCTCAGGAACAGTCCCAATGCCATGTTTCTTATGATTCCTTTCTCTACTCCAAATCAATCTCGTCATTTTCCCCCTAAACTTCCATTGCCTTTGGCTCTTATGCACATGCCATACGCGTTGCCCTCTGCCCCATCTCAAGAACAGGGCCTGCTGTATCCCCAGAATCCAGCCGACAGGCTTGCTGAAATGAATAAGGGTCCTTCCCAGAACTGTTTCTCTGTGTCAGTACTGCCACCTCTGTATTCTGCCCCAGGTCTCCACCCAACATTTTGTCCAGACCACCATTGATCTCTGCAGCCTCTCCATTGTGAGGGGCTCAGAGGGACTCTGACTAAGGATGAGGAGGACAGTTCTACAAGGACACAAAGTGTGTATGGAAAGGTGGCATACCTTGAGGTCTGGCAGTCACAAATGCCCCCATGCTTTTCCAAGGTAAGGAGAATTTCATCTTTGCTGTCATACCGAGCAGTAGACTGTAGAGAAAGCTTCAATAAACAATCCAAAAAATCCAATTTTTGAGAAAAAAATTTACTTTTCCTTTCAAATCCCATGAAAACAAATTATCTTTTAAGTCTTTTACTAGCATTAACTTACAACTAAATCATTTGTTAAAGAATCATTCTAAAGAAGAAAACCTGAAATGCCCCTTCCTGAGCATAGTCACAAAAGTTACAAATTAAGACACTGACCGAAAATGCCAATTTTTCCAAAAAGTGAGCAATTCCACTAAGATATTTTGCTTCATATCTTGATCCTGAATTGATGAGAACTGGTAATAAGAAGAAAATTGACAGGGTAAACATAACATTCAAAACAGGAGAAGAGAAACATTTTACATCACTGACTGATTTAGCCGGACATAACTACATGGGGGCGATGAGCACATCCTATTATCCTGATTGTGACTGCACAAATCAACACTTATGAAACCCTACACTGTGATGAAAACATTCAGAATTACAGAAAGATTGCATTCCTATCTTGGGTGGTAAGTTTTTTAACTTGCTTCCACTCAGGTCACAGTTCATAACTGACATGTAATTACAACTGATAGACCTCATGTTAAAACACAAGATCACCCACAATGCACTAGCAATACTTACTTCCTACTGTACAAAATTGTCCAAACTTATTCTGAGATGCCACACGAAGCCCATTATCCAGTGTGGTAACTTTGGTTTCAAACTTTTCTTGTCCATCCACTGTAGCAAAAACAGGCTTGGGTACACCAGGTAAGGGAGAAGAAAGGGGAATATTGGGATAGGCACCTCCACTACTGAACTGCCTGTGTGCAGGAGGTCCAAACCTGTAACAGAGAAACAGGTTACAGCAGACCTGGGATATGTGCACCTATGACAACCACTTAGGTGCATTTAATTAAGTCTGGTCTGCATTAAAAGTCAATATCTCCTTTTCTGGAGGGTCCCTTTCTATAGGCCTCCAGTGACAACACAGGGGAGTGATCAAGATCCTGGCTCAGCCAAGGGAGCTGGGGCAAGCTGGTTCAGTTCTCTGGCAACAGGAACCCACTCTCAGCGCACCTGGTACACATAGAGGTCAGCCCTGCCCTCACAGCTTCACTTTAGCCACAGTAGCCACAGCCCTTACCTAGTCTGGAAGGCTCTGTACCCTCTGGCCTTAGTAGGAGGCTCCCCCTCTTACTAAGTGCAAGTCACAATGGTTCTGTCAATGCCTGGAACACACTTGGCTCACCATCCCCAAAGCTCCTGTTCTGTCCCTCTGCGAGTCCCTTTCCCATGTCCATCCTTCTTCATCTCCTGGCTGAAATATCATTCTGAATACGGGGCTTTCCTGTCTCTGCCTGGTCTTTCGCAATCTTTTCTTTTTTTTTTTTTTTTTTGAAACTAGGGTTTGAACATAGGGCTTCGCACTTGTAAAGCTGGTGCTCTACCGTTTGAGCCACACCTCCAGCCCATTTTGCGCTGGCTATTTTTGAGATGGGAGTCTCGAGAACTATTTGCTCAGGCTGGCCTCCTGATCTCAGCCTCCGAGTAGCTAGGATTACCGGCGTTCAACACAGGCGCCTGGCCTTCCCGTTATATTCTATCTCTAAACGCTGCTCATTTACTTCGAAGTACATTGCCCACACTTGTTCGGCCAGCGTCTGTCCCCACTTTCCGAGCACAGCAACTGCTTCCTCCACCTCCCCTCGACACGTGGGACACCAGCTAGGAAGGGGCCGCGAACGCCAGGGACAGAGGGACGTCCAGGCGGCACGCCGACGTGCGGCCCGAGAGCCGGGGCCCCGGCGCGTCCCCCGCCCGAGCCCCGGGGCGCGCGGAGTCGGGCCGGCGTCCGGAAGACGCCTCGGCTCACCTCGGCCGCGGAGCCCGAGCCCCCGACCCGCGCAGCAGCCGCGCCGCCGCC